TCCTGGATTATTAGCAGGGCTTGGAGGGCAGACCAGTCACTGGACAGGTATTATTCACAATTTTCTCCTGGTAAACTTGCATTCTAAAGTCCTAATGGTAATCCTAGCTAGACAAGCAGTGGCAATCTTGCCAGGCAATGCTCTTAATGTCAAGCTATGCAGTTTTAACTGGTTAAACATCCAGCAAAACCCAAAGCAATCATGAGTCCCTAACCTTGGCGTTCGGCAAACTAATACTCTCCATTAGATAAGCACAATGCGTCCCTCCAGGATAAATGCACATTCTATTTCAGACACGGGAAAATTTTGATGTGTAGGTGGCATATATATGTACAACTCTCAGACTGGTTTAATCTTAAATACGGGGATGGGCTTCTGCATGCATCAGACACCTGGCTGACCAAAAAAAATGGACTTGGAGGTTCAATCATGGCTTACAAATATCATTACGAGCCATTCAGATCAGATATTTTCTCAGGAAATCACATTAACAATTTGTGACGCCCCAGTGCTTTTCTGAATCCGAATAAGTGTTTGGGAAAGCTCTGACCTGTTGTTGAATGAAACATGGTACTAAATTTCATTGACACAGATGAGATATTCTGTTTATTCTGTCTGTGCAAGTGATCCTTCAGATCCTAGGCATCCTTTACATTGATTCTATAGTAATTCATACTGTCTGTTATTTGCCAGAAACCAACTGGGGATTGTCACTCAGCAGACTCGCACGGATTAAATCACAATTGTTGATTCTTCAGTCTGGATGTCATTACCGCATCCACTGCACAGAACCTGCTGTTTGTCTGAATCTCATTGCCGGCCAACAGAAAGAACACAAAATGGACTAACCCATTGAACTCCACAGTGTATATTACAAAACGGAATAAGCGATACATGGAAGTGATTTTAAGGTTGTAATCTTATCTTGTGGTTCAGAAGGTGATTCTAAGCTGCTGGAGTCTTAGGTTTAATGCTGTCATTTGATCCCACGTATGAAGTTACTGCCTTGTAATTATTCCCAGGTACCTATCATTCTACATTAGAATATAGACTGGTTTCTCCTTCTCTCTTTGCAGTTAACATGTTCCTTTATTCCTGTTCATTTTCAGTCAGACTTTATTTTACTGGAAATCCTCACAAAACAGGTAATTGATCCAAACAAAGAATATTTAAAAACAAACTGTTTGCAGGTGCAATACTCAATGTAGTTTTACTTATATGATGAAGGAGATTATTGCAAGATGGGAAACTGGACGCCGAGTCTCAAACAATGTCTTACAAGAAATCCTTAGGCACAGCAGAAACAATTGATTTATGGCCAGTTACATTGATGCATGTCTAACAGACACATGTGTTATGCATAAATTTTTTTTTTTATTTTATCAAAAATGAATCATATGACCTACTATAACCAATTTGTCTGAACTGCGGACAGGAAGATGGTGGCAATGCTGAGTTGTGTTGCCCGAAAGGAAGCTCACAGAGAGTATCTTACTATCCATCTGGTTAGGGTTCAAACTCACGCTTATCAGTACTCCAGAGCACAGAAAAAACTAAGGATGCGAAAGATCGAACATAGATTTACCTAACCTTGTGCGAATGTTCGGGGGGGGTGGGGGCTGAGGTGGGGTGGGATTGCTCCTTGATGGCCCGGGGCCCACTTCTGGCCTGCGAGTCACAGGTTGGCCATTGAGATAAATGAGGGAGTTAAGCTGACATGTCGCAAACATCATTTAACTTTGATAAATGATAGAGAATATTGCTGACAAAATACACAATTACTGCACTTATATAATAATAATAATAATAATAATTCTTGCAGTTGATGAAGCACTTTATCACATTTTCGAGACATCTCAAAGCGCTTCACAGGATATACTGTAAAGTAAATTTATTGCATATTTTGTGGGTGAAACGCAGCAGCCAATTGCGCACAGCAGTGTCCCACAAACAGTCATGGATTGAGTGACCAAATTATTATTATTTGATTTTGAAGGGATTGTTAGCCCAGAAAAGTGATCCACCAATCGACTAAAAGAACTGTGAAGTTCTTTGGGACGTCCTCCTGACATGAAAGGCACTATACCAAATGTAAGGATTATTATTATTAAAATATATAGATAAGTAAGCTTAACACTAATATGCTGGCTCACCCCATTTCAAGAGAATTACGAAAGTTTTTTAATTTAGCAATAAACTATTGGAATACTGTACAAATGTTTTTTTAAAAACAGTTTTCTCTTTAAAATGCAAGTCTAAAATGATTTCTGAGGTAGAAATTTCAATTTATTATTCTAACCATGGAAAACGGTCATGCAGCATTGTCTATAAATATTTTTTGCAAGAAAGTCTGATAATAGAACATGGCTTCAAGCAGTGTAGTAGAAAGAAATGAAGACCTAAAAGATTAATAGTAATAACTATTTCAATTCTGAACTATCCAAGGGCTAAAACTATATATGTGTGCAATTCCAGTCCAAAACTGGCCAACCCGTCTGTGTAGGAAATCTTTGCAAGGGAATAGAGCAAGGGAAAGAAACTTCAACAAATTCTGATAGAAAAATACCAATGAAAGTTTAATGATACAATTGCACTCACACTCATAATAGAAAAATACTGTTTTGTTGGAAATTATAGAAATTCTACTATTCCTTTTTTTATACAGCATTTGGGAGATTGGCCAGTTTGGTCTTCCAATGATATTTGCTTAGTGATAGCTTAAACGTGTTTAGCAAAGTAACAGAATATTTCCTTTAAAAAAAAGCAGCTACACTCTTTATAAAAGCAATGAAATATACCAACACTTCTAATCTCATTATTTTTATCCATCTCAGAAAAACAAAGTATTCTTGCAATTATATTTCAAGATTCAAGAAAACATTAATACAAATTGCAATTGTATAATTCCATTGCTGTAATGAACATTATTGAAGAAATCATTTAAGTCCAAATGACTTTATGGAATTGACATTACCTAGTATGCAGTCATTAAAATTCAATACAGACTTTTAAAAAGAAATATTTCCCTCCTGAAAATTTTGCAACAGTTTGGCTAGATTAAATTATTATCAGTTCATGAAGACCTTGATAAAGTTAGTGCAAGTGTGCTCTAACTCATGGCGGTGCTTAAAGTTGATCCAATGGACATTGCCTCATGTTATAAAGGCTTGAATGACTTGAATGCATCTATTTGTTATTCCTTGGACATGAATGCTAATTTCTCTGCTGCCCAGTGACATATGAATTAACTTAAAAGGTAATTTCAGATCACTTTGAATGTTGTAGTTAACTATTTATAGAGTACTAACTGTACCCGTTGCAGCTTCGCTTGCAGCCAAAGGATCCAATATGGAATGTAGATTGACACACAGACAGACTCTTTATCGATACTCAGCTGGGAAGACTCCTGTGAGAGGATTCCTTCAATATATTTTCTCTCTGTCTCTCTCTGTCTCCCTCAGTCTCTCTCATTATCTCAGTCTCTCTCTCTCTCTCTCTCAGTGTATCTCTCTCTATCAGTTTCTCTCTCTCGCTCTCTCTCTCACAGTCTCTCTCTCTCTTTCTCTCTCTGTCTCGCTCTCAGTCTCTTTCACCATCTCAGTCTCCCTCTCTCTCTCTCTCTCAAGCTTTCTTTGTCTCCCACAAAACACACAGTCACTACACTTTATAATGTATTCTCTCTCACAGTCTTTCTCTCTCGGGATGGATAGAATATATGATAGGAGATATTATTTTGAGATTCCCCCCCAAAAAAATATGGCCATGACACTGCCAGTTGCAAGATATTTCCGATGAGGTATAAATCATGTCACTACGTCAATCGCTTATTGCATGATTATCAGATATACGTGACAGACAGACTGACAGACAGACATTTCATTTTAATGGTATAGATATCGCAATGTGTTTTCCTGCTGGTTTTTCACTCATAGCTTAATGCATTGTATTGAAACAGTCTTAATTCAGGACCGTGTGAACTATTGCACAGGATTGTTAGTAATGAATGTACGTAATTGATGTTTCTGTCATTGAAATACTGTACATTTTGGCACAGGGCACACAGCTTTATGTAGGTGCTGGTATAACCTATACACTGGTATAACTATGGACCGAGGCCTGAAATAAGAACAGGGGTAGATTATTCAGAAGAAACGGAACACAAATTCTTGTTTCTGTACATCAATCCGTTGGACCAATGAGGCTAGCTAAAGCTTTTTGCCATTGTTGTCGTTGAAACCTCTAAAGATCACTGAGACTTTGGTTCGGATCCATTATGTTATCAGAGACAAAGTCGGTTGACACCGCTTGTGTCACAAGGCGTGTTTGATAGTAATCGTACAACATTTGTTCCACTATGGCGATTTTCACATGCCAATGTCACTGCAAAAAAAACTTTTCACAATTGTTTTTATTGAATTCTTTAACTAAAGAAACTCATAGTTAATGGTTCGGGACCCAAAGGTTGAGAATTTATTCATTGGTAATATCCATTCTTATTTAAGAAAGGATATACTCGCCTTAGATGGGCTGCAACGTAGGTTTACTAGGTTGGTTCCTGGGATGAGAGGGCTGATCTATGAGCAGTGGTTGAGTAAACTAAGCCTATATTCTCTAGAATATAGAAGAGTTAGAGGTCATCTTATAGAAACTTATAAGATTCTTAAGGGTCTTGACAAAGTAAATATTGTGAGACTGTTTCCCCTGGTTGGAGAATCTAAAACTAGGGGTCATAGTCTCAGGATTGAAGGTCAGCCTTTAACTCAGTTGAGAAAACATTTCTTCATTCAGAGGGTAGTGAATTTATGGAATTCTCTACACCAGAAGGCTGTGGATGCTCAGTCCTTGAACATATTCAAGACTGAGATCGATAGATTTTTAAAAAACTAAAGGGATTAAGGGATATGGGGATAAGGCGGGTAAATGGAATTGGGTTAGATCAGTCATGATCTTATTCAATGGCAGGGCAAGCTCGAGGGATTGAATGGCTTACTCCTGCTCCTATTTCTTATGTTCTTATGTTCTATTATAAACCGTGGATATTTGTTGGTTGTACTTTATTTATTTATCAACTTTTTGTACAAAAATGTATATAAAACCATATAAACTTTGCAGGGTTTTCATTATGAAAGTAGAATAAAGGTACAATCTGAAATGCACATTTTGTCTGTGTTTCTCAAGAGTCCAAGATAGGTATATTTTCTTTCAACCAGTCATGGACTTCAGCTTGAAGTTTCTCCCTCCAATTCAGCATATCTTGTGTAATGTTAAAGAGCTTTTCAAAGATCTCACGTTCCTCATGTTTTTCAACAAAATCGTTAACGAATACCTTAAGCTGTGGAGGGAGCAGATGGAGGTGGGGATTAGCTGAGACATGGGAAGTGGCATGTACAGTTCGGATAATAACCTCAGCCCTGTGCAGCAGGTCTGATCAAAGTCACAGCAACCAATATACCAGCTGAGTTCCCTGGCTCAATCCTAAGGTTGTGACCTGATGCAGGATAGAGGTCACACTCTTCCCGCCAGAAATGGATATAAATTCAAAAGTAGACTCACACATAAGCAAATCCAAGCTCAGTCAGGGGGCCTTCCAATGGGCTTGTCTGTAAGTGTAATTTCTAGCAGCAGTGACTGGATAGCAGCCAAAAGCTGGAACCTGGAGCAAACCTACACCTCTAACAAGTATATGTGGAGAATGATCATTGGCTCTGCCTGAACTAGGGAAATACTACTTAGCAGGGATCCGCTTCCTGGATACCCACTTCACGGTAGACACATCAACTGCCCCAATACTGTATTATTTTATCCAATAATTGAATTGAAAAACAACATAAAAATATTAAATTCACCTTGTAAATCTTTACTTCATTCTGCAATACAACAAGCGAACGAAGCATGAAGTTGCCTCAGTGCCAGCTTGCCAAAGCTGACAGAGTGTTATTAGAGAAACCTTTTCCCCTGAACTCCCCAAAAAACAAAAACAGTCCTTTAGTAAGGGAGCTTGCATGATAACAATCATTTGACTACTCAATGCAGCTCATTTCAATTCTGTCTTAAGATCAGAAGTTTCCTTTAAAGCATTGACACGATTATTTCTTAAAACAAGAGCAGTGATTGGATTGAGCACTGCGTGTAATCCATGCATAATTGTGGCTATAAAAAAAACTACGGGAGCTTTGTGCAATATCATTTTGAAGTAAGTGGGTATCCATTGCTTTTAAGTGGCTGTGGCTCTGAGCAAGGCGACAGGAAGTTTTAGTTGTGTATGTGCAGAGCTAACAATCTTTGTTAGGTTACAACATTTAGCATTCTTCTATTTGATTGTAGCTATCACTATTGGTGGTGGTACAGTTTTAGGTTTCACATGATTACTTACTTCCAAGCCAATTCAGCTCTATTTCCTAGAATTGGCCAATTTCTCATCTACTATAGAAGCTCCCTCTATTTCCATGCCTTTCAATCTTGTGACCCAATCTCCTTTGTTGCACTGTATTGAAAGCTTTGCTGGATTCTATTGCCCACAGAGTCCATCAATTCGATTATCTCTTTAAAGAATTCCAATAGATTTGGCAGACTCAATCTCTTAGGAAAATAAGAACTAGAAAAGACCACTGCTATTCCATCTGGCCAGTCCCAAAGTAAAAAGAAAAATAACCTTAGATTAATAATAAATAATCTTGCAGTATCCCTAAAGCCAAGTTGTTTCCCTCTTAGAATGCTATATTTCTCTAGGTTTTTCATTAATCCCTCCTTTATGTTTTGCCTTCAATGTTTCCCTATAACAGATATCAGAAATACTGGCCTATAGTCCTTGTCCTGGAATTTGAGGACCCCAAAACGTCACCTTATCTTGGACTGTAAGACCATTTTATCATAACAATTTTAAATTCTTAAATTCAGTCCAATCTGTCAAAAGAACTGATTTCTAAATCAACACTGATTTAAGAATTTTCAACCATTCTGGGCAAGTTGTTGTTGCATCTTAATTTTAAGATAAAACCTGTTTCATAAGGATTAGGTGGAATTTGGGGTTTTGGTCTATATCTGCTTTAGGAAAACAGTTTGTGATTTCCACCATGAACATATGCTGAAAGTTTTGGAACATATCCACCATACTCACCCACATACTCACCCGTACTAAACTCTGTACCCCCATCACACCGGTTCTTGCCAGGCTCTACTGGCTCCCTATCACTGAACGGATTGATTTCAAAATCCTCACACTCATCTTCAAATTGCTTCATGCCCTGGCATCTTCTTACCTCTCCAACCTGCTTATCCCCTAACCTACTGCCCATTGCCTCCGCTCAACTGGCTCCAGCCTCTGCTTGTCCCTCGTGCCTTCCGTTCCAACATTAGTGGCCCCATTTTCAGCCTCACTCCTTCCTTTTTCACCTTCAGGTCGAGCCTAAAAACCTTCCTCTTCAACATGAATCAGAGAACAGATCTAACAGTAGGATCAGTTCTCTGGTTCACATTTTTGGCCAAAAGGACTATTCATACAACAATACAATTTACATTTAAATAGTGCCTCTCACTTAACACAAGTAACTGTGCAAATGAGCTGAGGAAGGGTTGGGGGTGGTGGGTGGGGGCTGAGAAAGGTGGAAGTGGGTGGAAGATGATTGAAAGCACAGTCAAAGAGGTAGTTCTTAAGGTGTGCTATAAAAGTGTTTATAGCCTGATTCCAACATAGCCTGGAAGAATGGAGGAGGTGAGGTGGAGGCACTCCAGGATGGAGTTCCAAAGAATGGAGGCAGAACGGCTGAAAGCTCAACCACTGATGTTGGCGTGGATTGGGTGTGGGACATAAAATAAGCCAGTGTTCACTGAATGGAGGAAATGATCAGATTAGTAGGGTATATATTAGGTTACAGAGGTAGGGTAGGACATGGCCTTGGCGAGATTTGAATATGAGGATGAGGATCTTGAATTATAATACTGGATTTGATGGTCACAAGGCCATCTCAACAGCTGACAAGTTCAAGTGAAATGTCCATACCTCTTGGAGCTCAAAATCAGATGAAAACGTGAATATTACAGCATTCAGTAGATTTGCAAGTTCAGAGGGGGAGTCTTTAGAGCTATAAATGAGAAGTAAAATGTTTTGAAAGATTAATACAATCACTTTTTTTGTTAAAAACAATTATTGTACATAAAGAGTTCTGAAAATTAAAACCAAAGCTTATTTAGTGAGTAGTCAAGTTGCAGTGTCAGTTTTGCTTTGTTGGCAGCATACTGTGTCAAAAGGAGGTGGGACACTGCTGTGCAGATTAGCTGCTGTGGTGTTTGCAAAACAATAAGTGTCAATGCTCAAAGCTACTATTAACATAAGATACTTTAAGAAGTTTCATTCTGATTAGGGGCTGTATCAAATGCAACTATTACTTTACAGTCAATGCGATGTGCAAAGGGAGTGAAAATTATCAATAACAAGGTGAAATTTGTGGTCCACATGGTCATTTTTCATGCTTAAGTCTGGCCACTAAATATTGTGTGTTCAGATACACTATAACAATAATAATAATCCTTGCATTTGGTATAAGGCCTTTCATGTCAGAAGGATGTCCCAAAGCACTTTGCAATTCACAGGATTTTACTGTGCATTTACTTTGTATTTGTGGGTGAATGCAGCAGCCAAGTTGCACACAGCAGTGTCCCATAAACAGCCATGAAGTGAATGACCAATTTTATTTGGGGGATTGTTGATCAGGACACTGGGGATCTCTTTTCGAATAGTGCCAGGGGATCTTTAATGTCCTCCTGATCAGATATACAAGACCTCAGTTAACATTTCTGATGCCATTCAGCATCACAACCAAGCAGGATCCTGTAATCATTCAATACAGGTTCGCTTTATAGCGGGATCACTGGATAGGAATCAGGAGCAGAAATCCCAATTAGTATTTTCTAACTCAGGAGTGCAGAGGCCAACTGTAGCACCCTCTACTGTCACTAGGATCAGCTGCAACACAACAGATCAGAGATTGAATTTAGGACTTTCTAGAGGTATAAGATTCCATACACCAATACTTAATGACAGCTTAAAACATGATGATTGACCACTTCAGTTTGTTATTGATTATTGATTATGTTAGCCTACAAGAACAATTTGTCTTACAACTTAAAACAGTGCCTTCACCAAGAGAGAGCTTGAAAAAAAATTGTATCTGATGTGTTAACCTCTTTTGACATAAGCCTGAATCAGGGTTTGGATTCTATTGTGATAGCCAATAGAAATAAAGGCCTAAAATTCCATCAAGTCTTAGTTTATAAGTCCATTTTTAAGATGGTGCAGAAAAAAGGAAAATTCTGACTTACCTTCTGTCTTAATTTCTTTCCACTGAATTTATATTTTTTCCACAATTCTACATGATTGTTGCATATGATATAGTGCCTTATCAAATTGTCGGATTAACAGGATTAATTGTGAAACGCAGTGACTGTGTAATTATCAACAAAATGATCTTACAAGCTATAACTATGTGGAAATTTGGGCCCAGAATGGGGGAGACTTAACCTCCCTAGTGTATTTTTTGAAAAAGAATTTTAGATGGTGCTGAACTGTGGAAAATTCTTCAATTTGGAAATCATCTTTCTTTCCCCTAAATTAAAACTAAATTGAAGAATTTTCCACAATTCTCCATCATCTTAAATGATAAGACAAAATCATCTTAGAACTAGATAAAATTTCAGGCCGCAGATCTGCATAGCTCAGTTTTGTACCAGACAGTGGCTATCCAAATTGAATCATCAGAGGCACTCATTCCCTGTGATCAGGAACAACCCAAATTCTATACATCTGGACTTACTTTAATTTAAACTTTTCCCAGTTTGCTCTTATAAAGTTCCATACTAAAACCTGACCGACAGGATTTTTGGCCATACTACGCAAAACCGTCAGAGATTGACTGTAAGACATTTTTTCACCATTTAGAGCGTAGGATAAATATCTGTAAAAATAAAACATAAAAATATAATACGCTATTGTTTGTTAGTGATATACATTTCACTATGCCAATTACCGTTTGAGTGATGTCATGCCTTGTTACATGAATGGCATTCATTGGTGGATTATTTATTAATAATAACTTGCATTTATATAACAACCCAAAACAATTACACTTGTATAGCCCCTTTGACGTCAGGAAGATGTCCCAAGGTGCTGGACAGTCAAGGATTTGCACTCAGGCTAAGAGTTGGGATATAACAACTTTCACGTAATAAATAAATGTCTCAGAATGCTTTATGAATATTATAGAATGAGCTCTTTAACAGCATTACATTGAAAATTCTTGATCCATCCGTTGGACCACATGAAACTGTTTGAAGGACCATTTGGGAAATGGAGCCAAACGATATTTGCACTGTTCTTTTTGTACCCAAACCGCTCCTCAAACCACCACCACTCGCTCCAGGCTCTGGGGAGTGAGGCTCTAGCATGACAGGCACTGGCTCTGCTGTTCTTTAACCTTCACATTGTGTTGGGAATCGCTCTGAACAGAACATTCCAAACACGGCATTACTGAAATAAGCAATGTGAGCATGTTGTAAGTTAATACCTGAAAAATGCCATCAACATTTTCTTTGCAAACAAGACAAAATCCCTCAAAAAAAAACTGAAAAGGATGTTAACATTATTCTTATATATTTCTAATCACTTGTTTTTAAAAGGGGGAAAACTGCAGAGATTCTACAGAGTGAGATGGGTGATATTGTAACAACAACTTGCACTTATATAGCGCCCTCCACGCCGGGCGGCGTCTCAGAGTGCTTAACAATGGTGGAGCGCCCAAGGCCGAGTCAGGGGGGAGGGGGAAGGTGACCTTGGTGGCCTTGTCCGTGACGTACAGGTTGGAAATGTCAAGGCCATGTGTGATGACGAGGTCGAGGGGGTGGCCATGGTTGTGTGTCGGTAAGTTGATGTAGAGGGTGAGGTTTAGGGAGGTACTATGCAAACTCCCTGCTTGTCGGCCTTCCCAACTCCTCCCTCCACAGGCTGCAGATAATCCAGAACTCTGCAGCCTATGTCCTCTCCCACACCAAACTCCATGACCCCATCTCTCCCATTCTCACCCGACTCCATTGGCTCCCTATCCTTCAGAGGATCCAGTTCAAGATCCTGGTCCTCACCTACAATGCCCTCCATGGCCTCCCCCCACCCTACCTCTGCAACCTCCTAACCCCCTACTAACCCACCCGCTCCCTCCGCTCAGCCGGCTCCAGCCTGCTCCACATCCCCCGACCCACCCACCATTGGTGGGAGAGCCTTCAGCCACTCTGCCCCCAACCTCTGGAATTCCATCCCCCAATCACTCCACCTCGCCCCCTCCTTAGCCTCCTTCAAGTCCCGCCTCAAAATCCTCTTCTTCGACTATGCCATCGGTCACCCTCCTTCCCCTCTCCTCCCTTCTCTCCCCCAACCCCAGCTCGGGTCTGAATGCTGTACACTGTTCAGCACCTTGGGACATCCTCCCGACGTGAAAGGCGCTATTCAAATGTAATTTTGTTTTTGTTGTTGTTGTTGAGAGGAGGGCAGTGAAATCTGAGGATGTGGTGCAAGGGGAGTTTAGGTGGAGGTTGAAGTCGCCCATTATGAGCAGGCGTTCTGAGCAGAGGGACAGGGAGGAGAGGAGAATGGAGATATCGGATAGGAAGGAGCCAGGGGTTTTGGGGGCGGTAAACCAGGAGAATTTTGAGTGAGAGAGAGGAGGGATGGTAAAAGGTGAGGTGCTCAAATGCATATTGTATGTATGAAGCTTTCACTTGCTTTCAGTTCTTATAAAACAGGGTTGTTGCTCTGTAGCCAATACCTTTTAAGAATCCATGGTTCTCTACTACAAGTCATGGCATAAAGTAACCTATAAGTGTCATCCACAAAAGATGTATTGTCATACATGGCCCAGGCAAAATTCCAATGTTTTTCAGTGCCGACTTTAATTGCTGTACAGTAAACTGTTTCCCTGATGTATTCTGGAATACTGAAAGACAAGAATATTGCAATGAATTAAGTTTTCATTAAGTTATTGTCCTGAACCACACAGGCTAGGGAAATGGAGAGCTTTAAATAAAATGTAAATGACCATTATGAAAAATATTTAGATGTGTATTGTGCTATTTTAAAATGAACTATACTGGATTGGCTTATCTGAATCAGGGAGGTGTAAAGCAGAGACCAATAATCCTTGTATTTAATATAGCGCCTTATCAGGTCTTCGAGACATCTCAAAGCGCTTCACAGAATATACTGCAAAGTGAATTGACTGCATATTTTGTGGGCAAAATGCAATGCCACTGGGGTTGAAAATGCAACACTTGCAAACCAGGGGATTTGCTACATTAATTGTAATTTTTGGATTGAGACTGAGGCTAGCATTTTGTAAAAGGTCAAAAAGTAAAACTCCGACTGTAAAGTGACCTTTACTGACCTTTGGCATCGCAGTTTTTTTAAAAAGCGAATCTGGTAGCAGATCGCATGCCTTCAATCGATTAATTTATTTTCGCAAAACAGAAGTCACACTGATTTCATTTCCAGTTTGTGAATACCACAATGTCAACCCCATTTTTAAAGAATCCCATTGCGCTGCGTGTTGGTCTATCAATTCATGCTGCGATGGAGTGGTAGAATGAAGGCTGGGGTCCAAAGCAAGGCATTCAATAACCAGAGGTCACTGCTTTAGTTTCAACTCCCATTTTGTGTCTGAAATTGCAGAGATACACAAACAAAATCTGTAGACTGGTAAAGGCATCTCACAGGGTCCATTCTGCTTTCTAACCTTTGGTCAACATTTTCTCAACAGAAAAAACGTCTCAAAACCAATACATTCCTCTCCTAGGAGCACTGACATAATCTGGCTATAGTTCCAAAGAGACCAGTAGGCCTTCAGTAAATGATACTTCATGTGTAAGGCAGGTTTCGGCAGCTATTTAACTGAAGTGGGGGTGGGGGCGGAGGTTGAATTTTGAAAACCAGGGCTGATCTTATTTTCATCTGATGTCTGTAAGGGAGGGAGAATGGTGATAGGTAGTTGGATAAGGAGTTCTGGTTAACTTTCCCCTTTCTGGCCCGGGGCTATGAGGCCTATTGTAGTGTCCCTCCCCACTGTTCTGGGTAAGATTAATTAGCCCAGTATAGAGCAGCGATTAAACCTGAGGCTTTGCTGTCCTCTATGACTGAGTGCTACACCACAAGGTACCCACTGAGCTAGCAGACGTCCCTGGTGACAATTTTTTAACAGTTTTTTTTCACTCAATGACAACAAATTCCTTGACCACTGTACTAAAAGCGACTAAATCATCCTACACACCGTTGTGAAAAATAACCGAGTGAGTCTTATGTTAAAATCCCCAAACCAGGATAAAAACGTATGGAATTTTACAGCTATACATTAATATTGAGCGAATAGGTCCATGAGGACAAAAAGATCTTGAAGAGTGAACACACAATTCAATCCTTTTCTTAGAAGCTGCAAACACTTACGAATTATTCTCTGGATTACTCATCCACTGTGTGTAAATGATTGTTGCTAGAGATATACAGTCCTTCACACCAAGTTGACACATTGTTTGAAATGTTTTAGCAAACATCACCCTGCACACAAGTTAAGAACAAGTAGGTAATCCAAACAAATACGGTTAAATTTCAATAAAAAAAACAAATGTTAACATTAAATTACTGGTGGAGAGGAAATGCAGTATGTCAAATGATATTTATCATTGGTGCTAATTATTGCAGAAACAGAAAAATGTGGTTAAAATGTGTGCTTAATATCTTTGCTTAATTTCAAATTTAATTTAATGACTGTTTGTGGGACATTGCTGTGCGCAATTGGCTGCTGTATTTCGCCCACAAAATAGTCAATCCACTTTCTGGTATATCCTGTGAAGCACCTTGACATGTCTTCATGATGTGTTAAGGCACTATATCAAATGCAAGGATTATTATTATCATTACGTTTAGGACTAACTCCCCAAACTCACTACGAAGGGGAATGCTTTTGACTAGTTCTGTTGAAAATTCAAGATAGCAATTATAATCCTTTCATTTGATACACATCAAAACATCTCAAAGCTTTTTTGTTTTTCTGTGGTGACTGTATATTTGTAGGCAAATACAGCAACCAATATGTGCACACTGTCCCACAAACAGCCAGGAGCTGAAGGACCAATTTAACTAGATCGCTGACATGCTATTTTAATAATGCTTTTATTTGGTATAGTGCCTTATAACATGTCATTGAGATGTCTCAAAGTAGTCCACAGGAATTACTGTACAGTGTAGTAACTGTATATTTTGTAGCCGAGTGAGCAGCCGAGTCTGTCATTACTTCCAGCTGTGGGATCAGAAATTCAACTTTACCAGATACCATCCTAACCTACTCACTGACCATCTGTGCTGCTCATGGTAGCAGGAAACTCATAGGGAGTTCTGAATACCTGCTATCCAACTAGCGAGGGCTCAAACCGACTAATTGGGGACAACTCTCTGTTGGGGAAGAGGTAAAGAGAGTGCTCTTGGAGCAGAGCTGGCTCTAATCCAAGGTGACATGCTTGGCAATGGAATGTCAGATATCGGCAGTGATGACCTGGAAATTGGCCATTTTTGCAAAAGAGCAAGCCCGCTGTGCTTATGTGCAGTGAATGGGGTCCACACTGTAACCCCTTATTTGGGCTATAAAGATGTGCTTTACGATAGGGCTCCATGGTAGATCGTGTGATGGTTAAGCAGGAAGGATGATCTTACTTTATTGTTTTAATCATGTAGTGTGTTTTGCAATCGTTCAAAGACAAATGAGGACCATTATATAAAATGTCCTAAATTAAGTTGAATCATAGAACTTACCGGGCAATGTAATCTTCCTTAATGAAATAATCTTCAAATGACGGCAGCAAGTAATTATAAAATGGAAATATTGTGTCGATAAGAAATTTCTGAAAGTAAGAAAATGGTTAAAAATAGTAAGTTTTGAAGCAGGGATGTTAGTACATGTTAGAGTTAGTACATGGAAAGTATTTATAATTTACACAGTGCAACATGACCCAGCTCAACAACAACAACTTGCAATTATATAGCGCTCTTCAAGTAGGATAATCTCTTGGAGCGCTTCACAGTGGCAAGATTGGATGCCATGCTAGGAGGAAGGGAGGTGACCACAAGCAGGTCAAAGAGATAGGTTTTATTAGTAATAATAATAATCCTTAGAGTTGCTGTAGCGCCTTTCACGAAGGAGGACATCTCAAAGCACTTCACAAGATATATTGTAAGGTGACTGTTTATTTTGTGGATGAACAGAACGCATAGCAATGTCCCACAAACAGTCGTGAAATGAATGACCAATCTTGTTTTGAGGAATTGTTGGCCAGGAACAGAGAGAATCTCCCTTCTCTTTTCAAATAGTGCCATGGGATCTTTAACTCCAACTAAATAGGAAGATGGGGCTTTGGTTTAATGTCTTATCTGACGGCACCTCCAACAATGCAGCACACCCCCAGCACCGCACTCGAGTGTCAACTTAGATAATATGAGTTTTATGTCCAGATGTGGGGCTTGAACCCACAATAATCTGACTCAAATGCAAGAGTGCTACCAACTGAGCCAGGCTGATATACAGTGTGTTTAAGGTGGAATTTAAAGATGGATAAAGAAGGGTCAAAGCTGAGTGATAGAAGCAGGGATCCCTGTTCCAGAGAGTCCAAACATGCATAATGGCTGAAAATTTGAAACAGATGGGGTGGAAGGCATGCAGTAAGCCTGTGTTAGCTGAGCGAAAGGGTGGCAGAGGGGTGGGATATAAATAGATCAGAGTGGATTTGTTATGAGGGTGTGGACCTTGACATCCGTTTGGAGACAGGGAGCCAGTGGAACCTGGCGAGTTTTGGATTGATGGGTGTGCTGAGTTTAGAGCAAGTCAGGATACGGGCAGGGGAATTTGTGTTAGCTGCACCTTGTGGTCTTACAGCGTGGCAGTGTCCCATCTGCTTGCTCAGGAGTACATTAAGGATCCCACAACACTATTTGAGCAGCCTAGTTCATGAGTAGTATTTGGAGGGACAGACACTGGGAGAAACTCCATTCTCTTTTCAAATAGTGCCATGAGGTCCTTAACATCCACCTTGTACAGGTAGACAGGGAAATCGGTCTAACTTCTCATCCAAAGGACTAGATTATATGATTAAATTAAACCATTTGATCGTTTCTTGAGTCCTACATATTACCTCCTTATTACACTATTACACTCTTAAATACATAAACAAACAAATAAATAAATCCTCTCATTTGATACAGTGCCTTTCACATTGGGAAGACACTTTTCACAAGAAGCTTCTTGTATGTACCAGGATATAGCTGTGTATTCCTACCTTTAAATGCCCATACAAATTGGTGTTGACCAAGTTTGTTTCAAGGATGTACAAGTGATCAATGGCTATAATCCATACCATGGTTTTCCGTTCCTTAGCCAGATATAGAGCTGTGCTCAGAGCAACTCCAATGCCAATGTGTTTAGATCTGTATATAAAACACACACAAAACAAAATCAATTGAAATCACATAATCTGTTAGAAAGATTAAAGAATTACCTTTTTCTCAAATTAGGCTTGTAAATGACTTGTGAAGTCTCAAAGCTCTTTGATACAATGTAGATGTACAATCACTTTACATTTGTATGCAAATGCAGCAGCCAATATGCACAGAATCAGCAGGTAAGTAAATGACCATTTTATTTATCTAATAATAATAATCCTTGCATTTGATATAATGCTTTTCACAACTTCTAGACGTCTCAAAGTGCTTCACAGAATATACTGTAAAGTGAATTGACTGTATATTTGTGGACGAAATGCAGCAGCCAATTGTGCAAGGCAGTGTCCCACAAACAGTCATGGCTTGAGTGACCAAATTATTATTGTGTTATCTGGAGGATTGTTCGACTAGACACCGAAAACTCTTTTTCAATCGTGGCATGAGATCTTCAACATGCATTTGAACAGGCAGAGTTTAATATCTTATCCAAAGGATGACACCTTTGGAAACACTGTACTCCCCCAGTACTGCATTGCAGTATCAGCCTAGATCATGAGCCCAACGTCCCAACATGGGGCTTTTGCCCACAACATTTTGACAAGGAGGCAAAATTACTAAAAACTGAGCCAGCCTGACACTTTACATAAAAGGGAACTTAAATTTGGCAACCGAGCAACCATGCTTAATGTAAAATATAAAGATCACAATTCTCAGAGTCTTAGGACCAATTCATTAAAGTGTGGAAATTTGAAAAAATTTAATTGCAATACAGCACAATTTGTATTTATTTAGCGCCTTTCAAGTCAGGAAAACGTCTCAAATTAACGTAATCCAGAAGTTAATTTTCTAGTTTTTTTTAAGACTTCCTACATTCTGCACAGTTTTAAATTTGAAGGCAATGATCTCAAGGCTAAGACCTAAGAAATGTCAAGCCTTAGTGATATCTTTAGTATATGATCGAACAGGGTGTGAACACTTCTATAGCAAGAAGGTCCAGATTTATCATAATTTGAATTCTGATTCAGGTTGTTGGGTCATGGTAATTCAATATATGAACTTTTTTAATTTTTTCAATAGAGCACCTCAGTAACATTTCTTCCCAACTATCCGTAAACAACCACAGCAAATTGCATTTATATAGCACCCTTCACATGAGGAGCTGATAATTAAAATAAAATTATTGAATTTCTGTTCTGATATCATACTCACTCCACCAGCATAAAAACATCATTTATAAGTTGTGCTCTGTTACTCGTAGGAATAACCTGTGGAACACAATTTCTCAGAATTAAAGGAAAGTAGACAACATTAAGGAATAAATGCATAACAATTTGAAAGCATCCAGGCAATAAGATCTAACATAAGATGATCGCCAGAAATAGAGAAAGCTAAGTCTGTATAATGGGAAAGTTAATAAAAATCTCATTTTGTATAATAGTCTGACTGAAAGCAGACGATTAAAGCCAGTAATTAATTCCTAGGGTTTATTAAACAACTTGAGATTGGACATTGCTTATGAAGCTAACTGCTGTGAATTGAACAATGTCTTCTAGAGTTGGAGAATGAATATAATCCCCTCTGGCTAGAGCGGTTCCCCAAACATCTGGACCCAGGCAGATTGCCTGCTGTTACAAACTTGGAATGTATAGTTGTACAGATTAATATGGTCTAAATGCCCTGAGTGACACACACGAGGGATAAAAAAGCGATCCTAAAGAAAGGGTATTGCTATTGATGCCTCAGTGTCAAAAAAAGTGCCTTGAGGCATAAAAAGGATCTCCAGCAGAGAGTCCCATATACATAACTCTGACTTGCCTTCCTTTCCTTTTCATCCTGTATCAGTGTAGCAAAATTTAGTGACATGAGGAATTTCACATCATTTACCTTTGTTCTCTTACTCTATACCATTATCTGAATCCCGCAGTTCAATTTCATCTATAGAGTTGCTGTGAGTTATTGACATGTAGTTTAATAATGATCGTAATAACAATCCTTGTATGATCACATTGTTGATATGTCTTGAAGGATTTACTGTACAGTCAACTTGCACCACATGCAATTTGCACTCGGTAATGTCATGAAGTGATTGGCCAATTTTATCTGGAGAATTGTTGGCCATGATACTGGGAGAAACACTTTATTCTTTTGGAATAATGCCATGGGATCTTCAATGTCCACCTGAACATGCAGATTGGATCTCGGTTTAACATCCCATCCAAAGGCTGGCACCTCTGGCAATGCAGAGCTCTTCCAGCTCTGGACTGGAATGTCATCTTAATCTATTTGAAATCAAGTTCTGACATTGGGCTGAACTCACAACCGCCTGATTCAGGGGCGAGAGTGAGCCAGGCTGAAGATTCTATGGTTCTGTCCCTGAAACAGAAATATTGATATAAAAAGGCATCAATTTTACCTGCAAGAGAAAACATATTTTTCTTAGCCTAGTATATTAGTGTGAATTGAAATTGCAGTCAGCGAGATAAGAGAAACATTTTTTCCCTCTTTTTTCCCTCTTTTTTCATTAATAAAGCAGGGGTTCTGACGGACCCACATCAGATATTTAATTACAAAAATGGCAACCTGCTTCGTTTTTGAAAGTTGTGTTAGTAAATAGTTTGGCAACCAATGATAACTCAACTGTAATTTAAAATGGAACATGAAGTAAGTTCAATTTGTACTTGGTTATTGAAATTTAAAAAAACGTGAGTATTAGCATATTCTGCTGTCTGTTGCATGGTTTACTGGCTGTTGAGTACTTACAAATGAATGGTTATTTTGGCATTAACTTTACTTTTGCAATAATTCAATCAAGATGCCAAGATGCAATTGCCCAAGGAATATATAAGAATTACTGTATTAAACGATAGACTGGATTAAAACCCAACTTTGCAATTCTTTAAAGCGCACTCACATTACCAGTCAATTTTTAAATAGTATTTTACGACTTGTACTCTTGTTGAAAAAACCGAGTCAACATTTTCGTTATGAACATTAGTAAATCTAAAAGAATGCATAACTGAGAGGGAGCACAGATGATTCCATTTCACTGTATGCATTACATGAGTATTAGATAGGCTGTACACACAGGATTAAAATTTACAATGTTCTTTAACCCATTTCTTCTGTTAATTAGCACTCGGAACTTCCTGCAGTTGAATATGGACAAGACGGAAGCCATACTCCTTGGATCCTAACAACGTCTTCACTCCTGCAGATCTAAACTCCTCAACCTCCCTGGGCTCTACCTCAGACTCACCAAACCAATGCGCAATCTAGGCATCTGGTTCAATCCCCAGCTGTCCTTCCTCCCCCACATCCGGTCCCTGACCAGGAGCGCCTTCTTCCACCTCTATCACATTGCCCGCCTCCAACCGTACCTTACCCCAAATGCAGTTGAAACCCTCATGCTTGCGTTTGTCAACTCCCGTTTGGATTACTCCAACGCACTCCTCGCTGGTCTCCCCAGCTCCACCATTCACCAGCTCATTCAAAACTCACCCCCTGCATACTGACTTGGACCAAACTCTGTACCTACATTTCACCAGTTCTGGCCAGGCTCCACTGGCTTCCCATCACCGAACGGATCGACTTCACGATTCTCACATTTGTGTTCAAATCCAATCACTCCCTGGCACCTCCCTACCTCTCCGACCTCCTCACTCCCCAATCCACCAGCTGACGCCTCCGCTCAACTGGCTCCGGCCTCTTGTTCGTCCCTCACACCCTCCACCCCACCATTGGAAGACACGCTTTGAGCCACGATGCCCCAAAACTCTGGAACACTCGCCCTCAATCTGATTTGCCCCCTTTCTCCCTTCGTTCGAGTTCTGCTAAAAACTTTCCTCTTCGACCATGCTTACGGCCACCTCCCCCCTCCTCGGAGTCAGGCTGCACCACTGTTAAGCACTCTGAGGCACTACCCTGCGTGGAAGTCACGATACAAGTGCAAATTGTTGTTGTTGTGCTAAAGAACAGAACAAATTCGGACCATAATTAACACTGTTATAAACAGTCATTACACTCCCCTTCGGTAACTCAGCCCACTGTTCCAGCCTCCTCTCCCACCCAGCTCCATCTTCCCCATCATTTTCCAGCAATACAGTTATGATAAATACAGGAAATCGATTTTATACAGTCGGTTTAAATGTTGGTTTTAACTCTAAATAAGGAGTATGGGTACATAGGATTCCCTTGGACTCCCTTGTCAAGGCTGTGAAGGGAGACGGTTTGCCATACTTACAGTTAGGTAAAAGATTCTCCATCTGTGACTTAGAGTATTATTAAAGTCCCACTACAAATCATTACGTTTTAGATCCCATTAAACACATGACAATGCCTTTGAGTGAACTATTAGGTCGAAAAAATATATTCTACTAAAGATGAAATGTCTATCTGCATGTCTGTCCGCCAATAACGCAACAACTGATTGACGTAGAGACATGACTTTTACCTCATCAGAAAGGTCTTGCATGGGGGAGTGTCATGGGCATATTTTTTTGTGGGGGTTCTCCTATTGTTGTTGATCTATGACCTAAAAAAGATCATCACACATGTATGGCAGTTTTGCTTAAAGTGTGCACACAGAGTTTCTGGCATACAAAATGGGAGTTTGTGAGTGGTATCACTGAAAACGCCAGCTCCAAAAACAAGCATACAAAAATTATGCAGTCAGTATCTACAATTATTGATGGGATAATACCAAAATATGTGTTACTGTAACATATGAGAAATATGTGACATCAGATATAACACTGTCTGTATGAGTTAAATAGCACATTTTCTTAAGATGGCTAAAAAGCGAAGATCAAGCCTTTCAAGGACGAATAAAAATGCCAGGCAAAAGAGAGAAGGCCGATTAAATGAAACTGAAGAACAAAGAACAGCATGATTGGACTTGGACACAGAAAGATATGCAAGAATAAGGCAAAATGCCCACTCAAAGAACAGCATGGCTGGACTTCAATGCTAAAAGGACTGCAAGAGCGCAGCAAAATTAGTTTCCCGCTCAAAGAATAGCCTGACAGGACTTGGACACAGAAAGTACTGCAAAAACACGGCAAAATTAGTTGCCCACCCAAAGAACAGTTCGGCTGGTCTTGGACACAGGAAGGGATGCAAGAAAATGGCAAAATGACACCCAGCAACAGAGGTCACTCCATTTAATTGTACTCAACTATGATCCGGGCAGAGACTACAAATCAGATGGCACCTATCATATTGGGAATATGTCGAATGTGTGTGCCCACTGTGGAGCCATGAAATGGGCAAAAGAAGTTCAAAAGAAGTTCCTTCCATGTGTTGCTCGCTTGGCAAGGTGAAACCAGAGCGATTCACAGAACCACCTGAACACCTTAAAAGTCTGCTGGATGGCACATCAGGTGATTCTAAGCATTTTCTAGCAAACCTTAGGAAATACAATTTGTGCTTCCAGGTGATCTCTTCTGGTGTAACTACAGAAATTAAAGAACCTGGCTATATGCGAACATTTAAAGGGCAAAGCCAAGTGTATCACTTGTCGAGATCTCTAAACGCTTTGCCTAATGAGTCGCCAAAATTCTTACAGATCTACTTCATGACGAACCGAGAAGACCAAGCCATGTAGCGTGGAAACAATGTTCTGGAGTTGAAGGAAGCCATCATACTAGACCTGCAAGACATGCTTCACAACAGTAACATGTACTTCAGGAGCTTCAGTCCACAATGGAAAGAATGATTGCAGAAGATATAGAATATTCATCCATGCAGACAAGATACCTGCTGGCCAGCATGAGCCACGGTACAATGCACCAACTTCTGACGAAGTAGCCATCCTGATTGTGGGTGAAGAACATGATAAGTGGGACATGGTGTTCCAGCAACGTGACAACCACTCAAATGAGTGTGTGAGACTAACAGGGCATTCGGTGCTCTCCAGTACACAATCTTATTCCCACATGGTGAAGATGGCTATCATTTTCAGAAATCCCATTTCACTGGGGGCGGGGGGGGCGACAGTTTATGCACAAAAGAACCCAGCATGCATTGTGCTATGTGCTAGTGCATGGCTGACCTGACCTGTTCATCACATTCACTTGCAACCCTAATTGGGAAGAGATCAAGCAGGAACTGTTGCCTGGACAGACGCCACAGGACTGCCACAATCTCATAGCCAGGGTTTTCCGGGTCTGGCCTACTCCTTGTCCCCCGAGTCCTCCGCTCCACCCTCAGCGGCCGTGCCTTCAGCCACTATGCCCCGAGGCTCTGGAACTGCCTTCCCCACTCCCTTCGTCTCGCTCCCTCGCTTCCCATTTTTAGGTCTCTGCTGAAGACCTTTTTTTTGACCACGCCTTTGATCACCTCCCCCCCCCCCCCCCGGCTGGGTCCCGGGATCCGAAACTGTAAAGCGCTCTGAGACGCCGTCTGACATGGAGGGCGCTATATAAATCCAAGTTGTTGTTGTTTTTGTTGTTTTCTGCCCCAAAGTTGTGAAACTGATGAAGCTTATCACCAAAAATCATGACTTTAGCAAAGTCTGTTGCTACCTCTACACCATTGGGTGGCAAACGCGTGGTCCTTCCCATGCACACATTCTTCTGTGGCTCATCGAAAAAATACAGCCTTATCAAATCGACAATGTCATCTATGCAGAACTGCCAAACCCAGACTGAGACCCTGTGCTCTTTGAAATCATAAAGAAGCACATGATTCATGGCTATGTGGACAACTCAACAGAAAATCTCCCTGCATGAAAGATGGGTCCTGCTCAAGGAGCTTGGTACAGGAGACCCCAAAAGGCAGAGGTCAACTGGAGATGGTGGATACCACGCAGTACAGACAAACAACAACCAGCAGGTAGAAGCGGACAACGTTGGGTTGACCCATAGAAACCCTATCTCTCTCGCTCTCTCAGCTCTTCAACGCTCACATCAATGTAGAGTTTTGCAACTCTGTTAAGAGCATCAAATATTCACATATTTGTACATATATTTTATACTCTTGCACAGCTGGGGAGGGCAGGGGCAGACAAACCTGCGCCCGATTGGACAGCTCAGTTGTCTATCAGCACCGCCCGGCATTGGCGGGGAAGCGAGGGGCTTGGGCCATGAGACATCACTAAACTTGGTGGTGTTCCATATTGGATCCTTTGGTTGCAAATGTAGCTGCAACAGGTACTGCTAGTCTGATATAACAGTAATAATTCTTGCTATAATCTTATCACAAAGATGAGACATCTCAAAGCAATTGACAGGATTTTACTGTGAAGTGTGATTGTTTATTTGTGAGTGAAGGATGATATTCCATCATTAAGTATATTAATGCATTGATGTACATTATATCTTCATATAATTTGAAATTATATGATTTTTTTCCCCGAGTGTAATAATTTTTTCAAAAAAAGTAAAATAATTAATAATAATTTGGTCACTCAATCCACGACTACTTGTGGAACACTACTGTGTGTAATTGGCTGCTGCGTTTCGCCCACAAAATACACAGTCAATTCACTTTACGGTATATTCTATAAAGCGCTTTGAGATGTCTCGAAGATGTGATAAAGAATTATATCAAATGCAAGGATTATTATTATTATTGCTATATTCTTGCAAGTGACTTGGAAATTATAACTTACCAAGTGATCTTTTTGCAGTTGTTGATGTATTCGGTTCCAGTTTGTGTTATCATAATTAACTCGGCAGAAGCAAACTTGATTCACATTTAGTATGATCCATTCTTCATCGGTAGTAGTCTTTAATTCAGGAAATATTTCTACAAATGGCAAAAGAATCTCAATTACTACAAATCATTGAAGAACCTGAGCAGCATCAACTTGTTTAAAAACAATTTTTTGGATGGTGAAGTGACTGATTGTTTTGGATTTGGAATGAACAGCAGCAGGTGGGTGTAATGATGTTTGATCATCTTCCTGGTCTCACCATCTCCCTGCCTTCCAAATATTCCTGAAAACGTATCTTTTTCGACCATAGTTATGGATAACCTCAGTAATTCTCCCTGCTCGGTGTTCCATATCATAATTGCCAGCATCTTGAGACATTCATTCTACCTGAGAGGTGTTACCTATATAGGTTATATACTTACAGCCAGAGTTATTTAGCCACAGTCTAAAATTCCAATGTTAGTTGGACTTTGCTTTCGCAAATGCCTGCTGCATTTGCAATGAATATAGTTATTCAGTGTCTTGGCCAACAATCCCCTAAATAAAATTGGTCATCCACTTCATGGCTGTTTGTGGGATATTGCTGTGTGCAAACTGGCTGACGTATACTCCCACAAAACACAGTCACTGCGCTTTACAGTATACTCTGTGAAGCTCTTTCAGACAGCTTCGCGACATGAACAACAACAACAAAATTACATTTGTATAGCACATTTCACGTCAGGAGGACTTCCAAGGCCCTGGATAATCAGTGCTTCGGACCTGAGCTGGGGGTCGGGATCGGTGAGGGTGGAGGGCAGAAGGGAAAGGAGGGTGACTGAAGGCACAGTCAGAGAGGAGGGTCTTGAGACTGGTTTTGAAGGAGGCAAGGGAGGGGGCGAGGTGGAAAAATTGCGGGATGGAATTCTGGAGGGTGGGTGCAGAGTGGCTGACAGGCCGCCTGCCAAAACTGGGGTAAGCGAGGCGGGGGACGTGAAGTAGGCTGGAGCCCGCTGAGCGGAGGGAGAAGGCAGGTTGGTAGGGGATTAGGAGGTTGCAGAGGTTGAGGGGAACAAGGCCATGGAGGGCTTTGAAAGTGAGGACCAGGATCCTTAGTGTGATGGGAAGCCAGTGGAGTCGAGCGAGGATGGGGATGATAGAGTTGCGGAGCCTGGTGCGGGAGAGGTGTTACCTGAGAGGTGTTATTAATAATAATAATAATAATCCTTGCCTTTGACATAGCACTTTTCACGTTGGGAGGCCGTCCCAAAGCGCTTCACAGAACACACTGTAAAGTGAATTGACTGTATATTTGTGGGCGAACGGAGGGATTGGAGGGATTATTATTAGGCGTGTGGAGTAAGGAAACTTGCCCAAGGTTTCGCCCTCTGCCTGGAATTGAACTCAGGTCTCTCGCTTGCAAAGCGAGTGCTCTAACCATTGAGCTACAGGACTCCTTACCTATGGGCTGTATAGTTATAACCATTGTCATTTAGCCACAGTCTATTCCCTCCTTCATTTCAAGGCACGCCGCTCTTTCGGTCATTTTTCTCCTCCCCATCCCTAACTCAGGTGCCCAATCCAGCACTGTGAATGCACTTTGGGTTGTCCTTCCGATGTGAAAGGCGCTGTAAAAATGTAAATTATATTTTTACTATAAATAGAGTATCTAGAGGATGTATACTAAGTGCAACGAAAATAGAATATATTTTCTCATATATCTCGCCCACTCCTGTGCTTACAAACTAAACAGTGACTGTCCAGTGATTTCCAATCCTGCTCCCCCCAAGTCTCCAAGAGCCTGGAAATAGAGGTGAGCAAGTCAGCAGCAAATCAACGGTTTCATTTCACAGGATGACCAAAAAGTTGTGACACCATTACAATATCTAATAAGTCTTAAATAAATTATGATATATATATGTTTTAGATAATAGGGTAGCTTTACATCTTTTTGGTCACCTGTACTTGATAAAGATCATTTCTCCTGTACTATCACCAGAATCCATTACAGACTGAAGTATTGAAGGACAATTTAGCTCAAGCCTTTTCATTCAACAAGGTTTGAATTATAGTGAAAGATTTTGTTTGGAAAGGCGTGCAGTGATTCGATTTCCAAAAGTTATGGAAACTTTCCTAGTGCATGTAACTTGTTCCAGTGACCTTTTTATTTTAGCATTTTCACATGCTGAAATCACAGGATTTCATCAACAGCAGATTTATACTGAGCCGGATTGATATTACCATGTAGTTCTATAAAAGTACTAACCGTTTTCTGTATCAAGCCAAAGCATAGGCTGCATGGACCCATTCTTCATCCAAAATATAGGAATAAACCAGGTGGAACTAAAAAAGCAATGCAAAATTCGGGAAGTTAATTCTCTCAATTCTTATTATTGTTTTTCTGCAAATGTTCCTACAATGTACATTGCCACACTCCCGGCTATTTTACTGTAATTATCAAGAGTTAATGCAGGTTAGGGGAGCTCTGTGTATTTCATGCTACACAGAGCTTTCCCCAGCCCCAGCAAGTCATTGAGGTGAACACCAGTTTCCTGCTCTGAACTGCTCCACTTGCAGTAGCATAAACCTGGGATAAGCCAGGGGCCTCTGAGGGGAATCAATCTCTATGGTGGAATTGGGAGCACCCTGACCCAGTTTCAAGATCTTGCTCCTCTAGAGCTTTGCTTGAAAACCAAAGGAAATAGTCGGGGGAAACAGGACTTTTCTAATAGCTATTTAATATTCCTGACTTGTTGATTCATTGGAATGGTAATTTTATTTGGCCTCACTGTAAGTAAAACAAACTGAGTGAATTGACTGAGTTTCCAGCATTTGATGTGCTGGGTCCATTATATTTAACCCATCTTTGCCTGAGAACCCATCTCTTCTGATAAAAATTGTGCAATTCCTTTGAGGGCTGGAGAGGTAAGTGTGGCTACACATCAGAATTCTCAGGAATCACTAGGGACAGCAACATTATAGGCAATTATTGGGAACCAACAAGATGATAGCTCTCACTTGTGATTATTATTATTCCACTTTCAAGTTACATAGTGAGAGTTGATTGAATTTCTCCCACTATTTCAACTATGGTGAGCATTAATAATACTTGCTGTTAACTTGAGAAGCCTAGGGCAAACTGAGCACTCTGAAAGCCTTCACATGAACATACAAGATGCCAGCAATGAATCAAAGACACAATATTTATTTTTGTTAAAAGGACTCACTTTCGGGTGAAGAAGTCATAGTCTATAGATATACCCAAAAATCTGCATGAGAGAGTGTCTCAATTATAACTAATGAAACACCATTGAATGTAAAATAGAAGCATTTTTGTTTGTCCAATATGGTGGTTTGATCAATGATGTAATAGGGGAGTTACTGAACAATAATTGATGATTCACTTTTGGCATTAAATACATCTTGGTGAGTGACCGAATATAATTGCGGGTATACTTAAAACAAAAGATGACTGTCCAGTGGTCTCCCACGGTTGGGATTTCACTGCTATTGGCTTTTCTCAGTCTGGGTGGTCCGGTTGATTAGTACGCTGTACTTTCACCTCTCTATCCTCCTTGGGATGGGGGGAAGTAACCAGGGTCACCTTGGAGCTGAACTGGCTCCAAGGTGACATGCCTGGCAATAGAATGTCAGATTAGAGCCAGCTCTTTGTGGCGGTTTCAGTAATCCGGTTCCTGGCTCAGGTGAGTCCACAATATTCCAGGGCACAGCCTCATCAGTGGGACTTGGAAGGGCAGACTGGTCACTGGGGGCAGGGAGTCATCCCACTCAGCTCCTATTAACCCTGCAGGCCAAAGCCCTAAAGGATAGGGTAGTCCTAGCTGGACAAGCAGTGGAAAGCTTCCCGGACAGCAATATCAATGGCAAGCTATGCAGTTTTAGCTAGTTAGACTTCAGCAGTACCCCAACACGTACACTTACCAACCTGCCCTAATACTTTCCTGAATTAGTAAGCAGGAGGCATCCCTCTGGGGAGGGAGTGTGCATTCCATTCCAACAACCTATCTCTGGGATTTACATGTGTAGGTGGGATGTATGGAAATCTCAACTTGGTTTGGATACTCTTAAGCATGGTGATGGGTTACTGCATGTAACAATCACCCGACTGTCCAAAAAAATATATACTTTCACCTCCTGGGTTTGAATCTAGCTCAGGTCAGTGGGATGAAAGTTTCCTCACTGTCTGATTCCTGGAAGGCTCCTAACCAAAATGATTTGGGTAGCGGCCAGAGAGTGGGTGTGGATCCATAGAACTATCTAAAGTTTAGCAGTAATTTGAACAATGTTGGCAGTTTCATTGAGGTTAGCCACCACTATGGCTGGTGTGGGAAATGGGAATTTGACAAGAGTGTAATAGGTACGCATTGAGGTTGGATTTAAAGAACACTGTTGGAGCAGATTAAAATACATTGTTTTCCATCAGCTATGCCTGACCTGGGAATGTATAATGCTAACACTGGATCACAAACTGTAAATGTTTTCTCATGCTCAGCACAAAAATGAAATTCATCCAAGTAATACTATCACTCAGTAAGACAGACTGGAACTGTTAATTGTAACATGAAAGAAAGACTGCTTTTTCTCTCTGTGGTCCTTAAGCCCTTGGGTGAAAGGAAAAACAAGACATGGTTCATCCCAAATCTCAGAGTTTCCTCGTCCATCTTCTGACTAACATCTTCCTTCAGTGTGGTGGATCTCACACATGATCGGCAGGAAACCTTTCTGGTGTACATCTGGGAACTGAACTCGGGTTATGAAGAACTGCGTTGGAACTTAGTCCTGCTTGAAGAGATGAAAAATGCATGTGTTGTGGGCCAGAATTCCTCCAGAGTAGCCTGCACTCAATAACTTTGTCAAGATGAACAGAACTTGCTCCCAGGAACAAATACTTAACTTGTTTTACATTGCATTGTTGGATCCACTCAGTTATTTTAACCTACGGTACAGTGCATTGGAAAGTGCATTGGACGCGTGCCCAGAAACAGAATTTGTGATCTAATTTGTAACTGCTGTCAGGAGGAGGAGAAATAAGATAGCTACTGTTTTGTTCAAAATAGTTTTAAAGAGGCATAACATCGCATCTGGCTTTTTGGTTATCAATGTCATATGGTGCTGAAGAATCCAGCAACAACAACTTGCTCTATATAACGCCTTCACATAGAATGATAGTCAAGGCGACAGACACCTAGGAGGGAGGAAGCAGAGAAAATACCGTCACAAAAAATGAGTCACATTCAGCATCATCATAATTTAACCAATTACTTATCTTACAGCACAGTTGGAATGTACATAAATTAATACGTTGAAGAGGAAAATAATATGAAAGAAAAATGTAAGGGTAGAAGTATCTTCTGCTCGCTGGTAGGCCGTTGGAGTGAGTGACCCTTCACTTAGGTGAGACAGAATGACCTACCATTTATTAAAACATAAAACTATTCTACGTACTTCAAGCTTTGCTTTCCGTCTGATTGGTCGATGTACTGTTCCTGCATTAGGCTTCCAGTGGATGTATTGACTGTTACAATAGGGAATCCACTTTGCACTATCCAAGTGTCAAGGATGTTTTTTATTGGTGCTGGTAGCTTCACCACATTCTGACTATCTACAGCCTAGTGGAGAGGAGGTGACTATTAGTAAAAAAAAGTGATTATTATTACATTATCTATACCGAACATATTATTTCCCATTAATCAACCATTGACTATCACTCGAACAACATGTAACGGTTATACCGATATTGTTCATCCTTCACTGCGGGCCTCATTACACTCCAGTGGCATGGAATGAATGGGTCATCAGCAGCGATCATGACACAGAAAAATCCAACAATATTCACTCACTCACGGCATATGTTCTAAACAGTAATAGTTACTGTGGTGTGATTAGAAGGATGACATCTCACCTCGCAGTCTTAATGATGTTCAGAACCTGCTCAAGCTTCATCCTTATCATTTATGATGATACTGAAAGCCCCAAATTTCTTATGGTCTGAGCCTCAGGATCAATGTCTTCAAATTCAAAATTGTGCAGAATTTGGGGGGGAAATGCAGAAAAACGGTTTTTACATTAAGATTGAATTTAAGATTTTCTCCAAATTCTGAATGATCTTAAGTTTTAAGGCAAAGATTGTTACATAAAGTTCATAATTCAGATCCTTGAAGCCTTTGATAAGAATAACTGCCTTGTACTTACTGCAAGGAATCACTACTCCTGGTACACTCCTGCCTCAGGTAGAATTTCAGAACGGTCACCTGCAGAATATTTCTCAAGAAGCCTGCAATACTGACTCCCGCAATTGTTAATCTATTGCCAAAGCCAATCATAATAAATAATCCTTGCATTTTGATATAGCGCCTTATTATGTCTTCAAAATGACTCAAAGTCATTTCACAGAATATAAAGTGAACTGACTGTATATTTTGTGGGTGAAACACAGCAGTCAATTGCGCACAACAGTGTCCCACCAATAGTCGTGGTATGAGTGACCAAATTATTATTTTTTGTTTTGAAGAAATTATACCTCCGGAAAAGCGACCCACCAAGCGATTAACAACCGGGGTCATACTTACTGCTAGATAAACAGAGGTGTGTGGAGTAAGGAAACTTGCCCAACATATCACCCAGCTGGGAATCAAAGCCAGGTCTCTCACTTGTGAGGTGAGTGCTCTAACCACTGAGCTGCAGGACTCCGATTGGATTTTGAGGACACTCTAACATGTGTACACATTAATAACTATGACTGATATTAAAACTATTTTAAAATTATGTTATTTGTATTATGCAATATATTTATGCATCAAATAACAGCAAAGAAAACTGTTAATGAGTATAAGGCAGCCATTTTATCTCAGGTGAGAGTAAATGTTCTGTCTTGTGGCCATCACATTGATTTCCTCACCACCACCCATTCCATAGGTATTCATTATTTTCTATGGAAGTTATAACATATTGATAAACTAATTCATAAGCATTGTTACCAATGTTTATGGATCAGTTTGTCAATGTGAACAACTTAAACTATTGTGAATTCATATTAAGTATAAAATAAAGCACAATAATAATAAATAAATAAAGCCTTGTAATACCATAACCGCCCCAAATTCTGTCCTCTAATCTTACAGTATTACCTGGCTTTAGAAAATGCTTAATTTTCTATGAAAAATTATTGAGGAACCTTGGCTCAAGTTAAATTCACTAATCTGGACAATGATAAACAATTGAGTTTATCCCTGACTGGTGTAAAATGATGAAATATAAACCTGTGTGTAAAGTATCAAACTGAGCAGGAGAAATTTCAAAACCCACAAAAATATACCAAAGTCTGTTCAGATAAGTTCCAACAAAATGGCCAATAAAACAGCCAAAATCAATGTGCAATAATGACTGAAGGCATGTACTGTTCTAGTGGACTTTATTAGCCACCACCTCAAATACAACCATATGTTCTGACCACATGATTTTAAAACAAATTTTTGAACAGTGTCATTTTACCTTTGAGCACTATTAGCTCAGCAGCAAGATATTGCAATTCTTTGACCTGCATAACAACTAAATAGAATACCTGAATAGAAATGACAGCAATGACATTCTGCTTGGATTTAGAATTAATGGCTGTGTTGTGATACTTTAAACGGGTGCATTTCAGTTAAAAACTAACCTTAATTCAAGAATCATGTTCTGCTAATTTGAAACAGGCCTTAAAGTTACTAGTAAGGCCGTGAAACCTGTTGATTTTATTTGAAATTATAATAATAATCCTTGCATTTGATATAGCACCTTATCACGTTATCAAGATATCTCAAAGCCCTTCACAGGATATATTGTAAACTAGATTGACTGTGTATTTTGTGGACAAAAATTACATGGGAAATACAGGACTCCAACGGCATGTTGAGGACAAATGCTATATGAAAAGCAAGGATTATGTTATAACCTAACACGTGTACACGCATTGATAACTATGACTGTTTTTTGGGGACATAGAATACAGCAATAAGATAATAATAATAATCCTTGCATTTAATATAGCATTTGTTACATTTTTGAAATGTCTCAAAGCACACCATAGGATAGTCCTGCTAGGTGCAGTCACTGTGTATTTGTAGGTGAACGCAACAATGAATTTGCACAAATCAATGTCCCACAAACAGCCATGAAGCTTTATCTTTTTATCTGAAGGCTTGCTAACCAACGAAAAAAGAAGAAATTCCTTTTTTTTCAAGTAGTGCCGCAGAATCTTTAACATCCACCTGAACAGGCAGACAGGATCAGTTTAATGTCTCATCCAATGGTTGAAATTACATAGGTACTAAAATTAGTACAGGTGTTAGATCCAAACTAACTCTGGGCAGACATTATCAGAGCACCCAAGGACCCTGCAGATAAAAGCAAATCACAACTTTAATAACAAAGAAAGAAACAAGTGATGATGACCCTGCAGGAGGATCAGCAGTGACCAGAGGCAAGAAAGCCTGAACATCGTGACTCATTTTTATTCCTAAGTTATTTTAACTTGTGTTCCAATAAAGCACAATGATCGTATATAGAGTTACATAGGGAGATATGTCACAGAAACAGGCCATTCGGCACAACCAGTCCATGCTGATATCTGTACGCCACATGAGCCCCCACCCTTTCTAACCCCATCTCCTATACCCTGCCATTCCCTTCTCACTCAAGTATGCATCAAGTTTTCTCTTAAATACATTGTTGCTTTTTGCTTCAACCACAGCTCAGGCAGTGAGTCCTACATTCTTACCACATTCGGGGTGAAGAAATTCCTCCTTATCGTCCTTTTTGATCCACTACTAGCGATCTTATTTTACTTGCACTTATTTCCGATAAGTAATAAAAATGTCTGAAGAAAGTTTTAATAAATACGTGATTTATTATATACAGGGTGACCAAAAAGTCATGATAGCTACTCTATTATCTAAAAAATGCAAAAATAACATCATTTCTTTAAGAAATAATTGACCTTGTAATGGTATCACAAGTTTTTGGTCACCCTGTATATATAACCTTTGTGCTATGTTGTGTACTTGCCTTTTCTTATACCCATTGTGTGTTATGATTTGTGTAGTACTATTGATTCTATCCTGTGCTCCCTTAATGGTGTCCTGTACCTTAGTGGTTAGAGCACTCACCAGGCAAGCGAGAGGACTTGGGTTTGATTCCCGGACAAAAAGTTTCCTTACTCCACACGCCTCTGTTCACCAAGTAGTAAGTAGGAACCCGGTTGTCAGTTGATTGGCATATTGCTTTTCCAGGGGTAATAATCCCTTCAAAAAAAATATTGCAATAATAATTTGGTCACTCAATTCACCATTGTTTGGAGACACTGCTGTGCGCAACTTGCTGCTGCATTTCACCCATAAAGTATACAATCAATTCATTTTACAGTATAATCTGTGAAGCGCTTTGAGATGTCTTGAAGATGTGATAAGACGCTACATCAAATGCAAGGATTATTATTATTATAGAGTGAGCCACAGTGGAAGTTCAATTTGTAGAATCAGAAACAGCTTTTCTGTGTCACTTTCCCAACTTTGTTGGCCAGTCCATGACGTTTCTAATTCTGCTCCAAAATCAGTGAGGGTGCAACAGCAGTTGCTGTACTGGGAGGTCACGTTTCATTTCCTCCCCCAGAACTGTCCTTCAGAGAAAATTGAGTCACTGCATCAGTGCCGCTTGTTTGAGGGAATGTTTTCACAGGTACTGCTCTTTTCCGTTAGACTAGAGATGAGTGCCTGGTTAGCTACTGGAACAAATCCCTCAGATCTACTGATCAACAATTTTTGAAGACAAAGATTCAAATTACAGCCATATGACCTGCTCTAAATAGCCCCCGAAGCTTCCTCATTCACATTGGGTTTGATAACATGGTGGGCGTAGACAACTGGGATTCCATGTAGATCTCCACCCTGTTCATCCAGATCTTCAGGGCGTTCCTGCAGATTTTCCTCCACATAGCTGTTGTCTTGCAATCTCCTTTTTTAATGCAGGAACACCAAGTTCTACTTCCTCTGTACTTTCAGGAAAGATTTCCCCAGGCGAACTGTCAGCTCCTAAACTCCAGCAGTGTGCCTCCTCCCACCCCGTCTCCTTCACCAGTGCCTTGCGGTTCACTGTGTGCTCAACCCAATATTTCTCTCTTGTCTGTTGCTGTGATGTTGTGAACGTCATCTGGTATGTGCTCAAGTGACCATGGGGTCAGCTGGGTTGGTTCCAGCTGCCACTCCTCCAATGGAACATTGACTGCAGATGTTGCTGAGGTTGTGCCAGTGTCTGAAGCAGTAAAACACAGTGGTGTATATTGGGTCATGTGTAAACCACATGTAAATGTGCATGTATTATATGCCCATGTGTTATTCACGTGCAAATAATAATAATCCTTGCATTTGATATAGCTCTTTTTCACGTCTTCTAGACGTCTCAAAGCGCTTCACAGAATATTTCGTAAAGTGAATTGATTGCATATTTGTGGGCAAAACGCGGCAGCCAATTGCGCACAGCAGTGTCCCACAAACAGTCATTGAAGTGCCCAATTTATTACTGTTCTATCTCCCTGCAATTTCCAATTCAACACTGTGCACTCCGCAGCTGCAATTCCAACTACTGTTATACAATATGATTGCTGAGCTTGTTGAGACACCTTTCCAGATGCATAGTTGGTGAGCATTCCTGCTGGCTCCCTATTGCTGTAGTATGGTCAGCAGCGGTAAGCGGTTACCACTTCTGTGGCTGCAAAAAAAGACTCTGTAACCAACTATGTGGGATCTAGTTAGCCAACCACCAATGCCAAAATAGGCCATGAAATCCCTGAGACAAAGTGCACACACATCAGGATAACAGTGAATCTATGGGAAACAAGCTATTTAAAAAAGAAAAAGTGCAGAATGCTCGAAACCTGAAATTAAAAAAAGATGAATGTGATGTGCAAGTAAAGACTAACTTGAGTAAGGCCATGATCAGGTCAGTGAGAGTGAAGTGCCCCTTTATCACAAGATTGGTTATGGATGAGAAGGCTCTTTGGTCCATCCGATCTCATTCTTTCTGAATCCCGAATACTCAACCTCGCGTTACCAAGTTGCTTCTTATATGAGTCCCAAATAGTCCAAAATAAGCCAATAAGCTATAGCCTTAATTAGCTTTCCTTGAAATCTGTTCCAGCATAGGATGAAAGAGTTCAGGAAGACCAGGCCGAGAGATTCGGCACTCACACAAAGAGGCAGCTAATGGTTTATTCACAGTGGGTTACAAGTATGGTAAGGTACAAGTAAAAATAAAGAAAGGTGTGACAGGACTAACACAGCACAAGATTCCAATACAACTGCAAAAGAAGTTGTAATAGGGGAGGGTGGGAAAATGGAGGTGATAGCTAAGAGGGAAACAGCTAAACATAACCAGGAATGGCAGAACCCTGAAATTTAAAAATAGACAATACTCTGCAAGTAAATATGCATCTCACAAAGAGATAGACTTGAAGTGTCCTCAACAACAATGGTTATTGTGCCCTCGATGCAGGATAGCGTCTCAAGAGTGCTTAATGATGGTGTAGTCCGATTCCGAACTGGGGAGTAAAAGCAGATAACCATAGGCACGGCTGAAAAGGAAAGCTTTTCAGTGCGATCTGAAGAGGGCAAAGAGGGAAATAGGTGGAGGGATAGAGGTAGGGAGCTCATATGGAGAAAGCAATGGTTGGGATCTAAAAAGTGGAAACATTACATTTTGTACGGATTGCAGGCAAATTTCAAAGGGATGTAAATATTGTCAAAAATAATAATATAATGTTTTCGGACACTAACTTATCTTTAGCTATTTTGGGGTTCTGCGTGTTAGTAGTTATGGTGCAAATATTTTCTCTGAGGATCTTTTGAGTTTATAGGTTTGGATTCTTTCTACTGTTGGGAAAATCACACAATTTCTGAGCTGCAGACAACCTGCCCCAAACTCGTGTGAAACTAAGACCCTTTTAGTGGTTTTCATGGACCACTGTATTTACAATAGACAGGCACAAATACATCACAGGAAGTTAAGATGTAAAATTAATGCTTTTGTCCCATTAACTCCACAAATGTTGTCAGCCAAATTCATACACATAAGTAATGGTCAGTACATGACTTAGGGTGTCTATGTATCTTATTGTTGTAATATCCAAACTTATGTATGTTCAGCAATTTTTCACCACATTGGAATTGAAAATGAGGGTCTCACAATAGGAATCAGCACAGAATCATAAATACTGAATATTGTCATTCACTGGATGTGTGTCAGGTAACATTTTCTTCATAGTGGCTGCAGGTCAGAATGACAGCAGATCAGAGTGACGCACTTCTGGTTACAGTTTGGTTTCTCTATTTACAAATCTTAAATGGATTTAAGATTTGTAAATAGAGTTAAATAAATGCAAATGAGAGGATCAAGGTTCGATTTCCGGATGGAGCAAAACCTTAGGCAAAACCTTATTCGTACCCACACACCTCTGTTTACCTAGCAGTACGTAGGAACCCAGGTGGATCACTTTCCAGAGGTAATAATCCCACCAACAAAAAAAATTGGTCACTCAATCTATGACTGTTTGTGGGACACTACTGTGCACAATTGGCTGCCACGTTTCGTCTGCAAAATACAGTCAATCTACTTTACAAAATATTCTGTGAATCACTTTGAGACGTATCAACGACTTGATGAGGTGCTATATCAAATGCACAGGTTATTATTATTATTATTATCTTCAAATTCTGCTGTAAATACTCCCTTTATGGACTCCCCCAGGTACAATTTATAACGACAGGTCTCACACTGGATGCTGGATGCAAGTGCAATGCTAAACCCACCCGTCTCACCCAACATAAAAGAGGGACCGTTTATTAAAAACAAATACACAAATGGCCTTGCCAGACAGCCATCTGTTTAACTGGCTACCACAGTGATTCATGAGGAGTAAAAGCACAGTTTAACGAGTCAACATTCTGAATAATGCTGAACTGGGCAACTTCATTAATTCTTAAACTAAGTAAATTAAACCATTAAAATCACAAAATCTGTTTCTGATCAACTCTGTGAGTGCACTGATCACTCGCACGCAGGTTAGCAATACACTCACTGTTTTAGTGGAAGTCAGCCAGTTCACACTGCAATGCACTGCTGCCAGTTAACACTGCAAAAACCATTTTCCTAGCTTTCCAAAGCTTTCCAAAACTTTCCATTCTACCACATATTCATTGTTATACACTCATTATAATACATCAAAATCAATGGTTTGGGATTATTAAAAGGAAATCATTCTGGATCATGCAGAATATAATGTATATATATTATATATAGCAGTGGAACAGGAGGGGATTGGCCAGGCAGGAAATTCCCATGTTTCTATGCACTATGCACTGAATTACTTCACTACTTAAACCAAAGTAGAAGTCACTGGGAACACTCAGCAGGTCAGGCAACTGATGAAGGGTTGTGGATTCGAAACGTTGACTCACTTTCCTTTCTCCATAGATGCTAACCTGACCTGCTGAGTGTTCCCAGCGACTTCTGTTTTTGTTTCAGATTTCCAGCATCTGCAGTATTTTGTGATTTATTTCACTACTTAATTTGGCTTCCTTGAAATTACAGGATGAAGGAGACATAGTGGCACAGGGAGTTGGTACAGAATTACCCCTGCCACTGTGCATTCCAGATGTTGACCCCACTCCCATTGGAAGTCTTTGAATGAAAGGCAGGTGCTTCCTCACAGGAAGTGCAGAAAGACTGGAGAAGCACGCACTCTAGCCTGCTCTGATCTAATATTTGGCTATACAGCAGCAATGGTAGAGCCTTGGAAGGAAGTTGACAAGTTGTCATTTGACAGTCTTTTTTTTACTCACAAACTCTGAGAGGTGTGGGGCACCTACAGAAAAATTCAAATAGATTAAAAATAGACCAAGAAACATTAAGCAAAGCAAGACAATAACACCTGAGCACATCTAATCCTTTGCTAAACCCACCATTTGCAAATGATGCCACAAATCATTAGACACAACATTGGAATAGGAGAACGTCTTGAGGTAGGTCTGTAAAACAAAGGGAAAAACCTGATACAGCCTGTCCAAGGAAGCGAAAAATAATGCTATGAAGAGGATTAACACTCAACTATTGCCTTCACTACAGCATAACACCAGCAGAAAGCTTTGCCTTTGATGCTACATTTGTACTGCACACTTCAAAGAAAATCATAGAGATTTTGGCAACAATTCACTGCCAAACCTGCTGTAGAAATAAGGGCTCAGGTAGCACTAATTACACAGGAGCCCTACTCCAGGGTTTGCACCCGAGCTGGGTGTGGGGGCCAAGACACCATGGGGTGAAGGGGGATAAAGATGCCGAAAGTGCGGTCAGGGAGGAAGGTCTTGAGGCAGATCTTGAAGGAGGCAAGGGAAGGGATGAGTCAAAGGGATTCCAGGGTGGAGTTTCCAAGAGTGGGGACAGATAGCCTGAAAGCCCACATGCTGATGGGATGGTGGGTTGGAAGGGGTGGGAGACATGAAGCAGGGCATGCCTGCTGAACAGAGGGAGTGGCCAGGGCTGTTAGCGTGTGAGGCGGTAGGGTGACATAAGACCACAGAGAAATTTAATGGTTAGGATGATAATTTTGGACTTGATCCGCTCAGTAGCCAGTGGAGCTGGACGAGACTGGGGGCGATAGGCTCAGAGACTACTGCAGGAAGGACATGATCTACACAGTTGTGGATAGTTTGCAGCTTGTGAAGGGAAGAGACTGGTAGTCTGATGGGTAGAGAGTTAGCACATTCTAGACTGGATGTGATGAATGCTTTATTGATGTTCTTTAATAAAGTTAATAACCACCTACTCAATTTTGTTGTTTTGTAGTATAAACCTGTTTCCTCATCACTAAAGTGCCAGCAATTTGAATGAAACTGCTTCATGCCAGACTTTGAATCATAATTTCTATTTATAAAGAGATTGCTGGCCCCCAACCCAAGCAAGGTCCATTTCAAACTCACCCTGAGCCCTTTGACAAGCAGTTCCTCAGTCAGAAACGCAGAGGCCATGCGGATAACAAGAGCGCCCTGTAATACAAAGAGGAAACATTGGCTCAATTTCTTAATCAAGAAATCCAAATGGGGGCTTCGACCATTAACTGGAATTTTGTAATGCACAAGGAATCCCGCTCTGAAAATAGATCAAGTTCCAGTAGAGATCCTGAGAGTCAGGGACTCTCACAAAAATGATCCAACCTCTTCCCCCCCACACCTCAAATGTCTAACTAACCCAGTGCTAAAAATGCTCACCCAGAATTTACCTTTCTGTAAGTGATATCATCAAATAACTGCCTGATGTCGTGAGGTGTCTGAATGTTTTCTTCCTTTAGTGACACAGGGTGTGAGGAAGCATCGTAGTCCAGGCCAAGCATGTAGGGTACCAAGTGTTCTAACAATTGGTTGTCCTAAAATAAATCACAATAACTGAGTGATGTAATCAGCGCCAACAATATTATGTATCACATTTCTACCAGGGATCATAGAAATCTATCCTGAGGTTATTTCACATTGGAAGAGATGGAAAACACCTTCCTGATTTGTGAAAAGAAAAGAATTAGCATTTCAAAAGATTTTTGTGAATGGGGTTAACTGAGATTATTTAGAAAGAGGGACTGCTATTGCAATAAACTAGTTGCTAAAACATCCAAATTAATCTGAACCATAATGAGCACGTGTATTTGTTACACAATGGCTTCTTGTAGTTAGGATACTGATGACAGAATGACGTTTCTGACTTACCAGCAGAACTTAAAAAAGAAAACCAATCACTGTGGGGCAGGAATTTCTCCCAATTACTTCCTGGATAATGCTACAAGCCAACGCCCTAATGCATAGGATGGTCCTGGTTCAAATTTCCCCCTGAAGTTAATAGTGATTGTACAGATGTAACTTGAACTCATATCGCCTTTAATGAGATGCATAACATGCTAATTCTCTTATAGAAGGCTTGATGTATTGTATCATCTTACCAATTCAGAGTAATTTCCCACATGAGCACTACCTAAATGTTCGAAATACGATGAAATTCCTTCGTTTAGCCATAGATCATTCCACCACTTCATTGTGACGAGGTTTCCAAACCACTTCAAAAGAAAGCAGAAAACAATTTGAATTAAATATTGCAGAACATCAAATTTATCTAAGATATCTTCAAACAGCCCTATTTTGTAGGATTTGTGACATTGCTTGACCATCTTTTAAGCTTGTGCGAGGGAAGTGCAGTAATTTGTGATCACTTAAACACATGTTTTGGAAGTTTCTGTGCTGCCAGTGGCACAAACATTTTTAATTTATGTTTGTAGTCAAGCACATTCAACCTCTATTTGGCGACATGGTGCAGGTACTCTGCTGTCTATGGGCATACATTCTTTCACATCCACGATCTATTGATCAGGAAAAAAGACAATAAGTACTATGTAGTTGGGAATAGTACCTGAATTTGACTGGCATTTCTCTCCACTACTTTGAAGAGATAAGTAAAATATTTATTGAAGTTGTTTCTGATGAAACACATCTCACCAGTTCTGGCCAGGTTCCACTGGCTCCCCATCACTGAATGGATCGACTTCAAGATCCTCACTCTTGTGTTCAAATCCATTCACTGCCTGGCACCTCCCTAACTCTCCGCGAACTTCTCACTCCCCACTCCACCACCCGGCACCTCCGCTCGACTGGGACTGGTCTCTTGCTCATCCCTCACACCCTCCGCCCACCATCGGAGGTCGTGCTTTCAGCCACTGCGTCCCAAAACTCTGAGACACTCTCCCTTGATCCCTCCGCCTTGCCCCGTCTCTCCCCTCTTTCAAATCTTGCCTGAAAACTTTCCTGTTCGACCGTGCTTAAGGCCATCTCTCCCCTCCATGGATCGGAGTCAAGCTCTGCCACTGTTAAGTGCTCTGAGATGCAACCCTGTGTGGAGGGTACTATATAAGTGCAACTTGTTGTTGTAGAAGATACACCATCTCATTTTCGTTTCCCATTCAGCCAAATCAAAGAGGTGGGGGGAGAGGTACCTGGCAGTAGACCAGTGTCTCAGCAGAGTTCCTGAGGGTCACATCCAGGTTACCTAGTGGGCTGCTGCTTCCTGTGAGCTGTATCCATGTGCCTACAGAATTTGATATTTACAGATGCTTTTGTGAATCTTATAAATTGGGTGCTAATTTAAGAATTTTCTTCAATTCTGTGCAACCTTAAATTATAATAATTCCCGCGCCCCCCCACCTCCCAAAATTTGGTCACTCAATCCGCGACTGTTTGTGGGAAGTCTCTGTGCCCATTTCATTCCCAAATTCACAGTCAGTCCACTTTCCGATGTATACTGCAAAGCGCTTTATCAATTGCAAGGATTATTCTTAAGACAAAACGCTAAGAATAGGTGGAATTTCTAGGCTCGTAAAAGAGCATAGAATGTATGATGGCTTCTCAGCAAGCATTCATATCAGTCACTCCTCTGCTGAGCATATTATCTGTGGCAGCTGGAGTTTATTTTAGTAATCTGGAGCAGCAACAAGGCAAAATGGCAACCAGCTTGAGTGTGGAGAAAGTTTATGTTAGTCAGGGAACATCTGATAAATATAAATAACACATTTGTTCTGAGTGTATTTTGAATTAATAAGTAAAGGCATAAAGATTTGAATTAGTGTTCATCCCATTGAAAACTTTTGATTCACGAAGCGACTAAAAAATGGTTGCAAATTCAAACAAAGACTTTCCACAGTGATGTAGCTTAGCTGATGACCTTTGATCTGAGGAAAGCCTGACCCTGTGCACAAGGCACTGGCTTCACAGCTTGTTTAGCACAAGTAGCATACAGGGAGATCGGACTGCAGCTCTTACCCTAACATATTTATGAAGCAGAACAAATTTAATCACATTTAAATATCTCAAAGTTTGTCAGAATTTTTTCCTTTAAGGTGTTGTGACTGTGTATTTGTAGGCAAACATGGCACCTGATTTGCGCACAAGAATATCATCACACAAAATGTCATGAAGTGAATAACCAATTTTTCACTCTGGGGATTGTTGTCTAGGATATCAGGAGAAACTCCCTTCTCTTTTTGAATAGTACCAAGGGATCCTTAATGTTGACCTGAGGTAGAATCGACCTCGGTTTAACGTTTAGGTGAAGAGTCCTGAGGAACATTGCATGTGACCATGCAGAGGCAGGAAGAGAAGACAACTGATAAGACATAGACAAGATACTGGACTAGTTAAAGTGAAACCAGGAAACTGCAGTGTCAATGGAGATGGACAGGGAGGGAAGATGGTGAAGAAGGATGGGATGGTCAACAATGTGGTATGCTCCGCTATTCACTAGCTTAAAAAATTGTAGCCAATATTAAATCCTCTGGATGAAACCATTACCCGAAAGTGGTGGAGGTGTTCACCTTCTAGCCTGTCCTTATGGAAAGCTTTTAAGGGCACATACTATAGTAACCACATTTTCTGTCCATGTGATAATTATCACCGAAGCTAATCAATTATCACATCACATACCCGGATACACATTCAGTTTGTCTCCTTACTGCACTATTGCTGAGTTCTGTGTGTTGTTACCAATGTATTACCAGCTCTGTGCAACCAAGCAATTTCCTCTGTTCCACAAGTAAATGACGCCCACTCACCCAACAATTTTAAATGATAACTATCAAGAATCACAGAATGAACAGTGTTCCAAACTACTCCCGCACTCCTCCCTTCTCTTTCTTCTCCTCCCCTTCACGCCCTCATTCTTTGCCCTCTCCTCTTCCACTATCCTCCCAACCTCTTCCTAGAACTATAGAAATTTAAAACACAGAAGGCCATTTAGTCCACCGGATATGTGCTGGCTCTTGAGAGCAATCCTTTCAGTTCTAATTACCTGCCCTTTCCCTCCCTTCTTCTCCTGTTCCTTCTACCCCTCTGCTCTACCCTCCTCCTCCTCCTCCCCTCCCTTTGCCTCTCACCTCCTTCTGATTCTCTTCCTTTCGCCAACATATATAACATATATCATTATAGCAATAGAAAGAATTGCAAAGACATTGCGCAGACGTGCCTGATGTGCCAGCTCATGTGAAATCATCAAGGTAATGGCATTTTTATTCTCAGAGGTTTTCTCCTTCGGGTCACATAACAGAGAATCATTTTTGAACATCAACAGACCCCAGTTTTCCATCGCACTTGCTTCAAATTCTGGCAATGCTATTAGATCTACAAGGGTAAGAATACTATGAGTAGATGAGTCAACGATGCAGTAAAAAAAAACAGCCAGCCTAAATAAATAGACCTGTGTAAGAGTCCCATTTCCGCTAAGAGAGTTGTGAAGTCAGAATACAATTTAGTTAATTTTATTCTTAAGGGTGGACAATAAGACAATGAAATTGATCTTGTTTTTTTAAGGCTAATGCAACAATCATTGTATTGTAGGTAATTAAATGATAGCCTTTCACAAAGTTAACAATCATAATAATAATAAAGGAGAGTACATTTTCTGTAGATATTGTTTCTCAACTTGAAATCATATTTGTATTAAAGTATGTTCTAAATCAATTATATTTGCCTTTAGCAAGTACCATGACCAGCTTACCTTCCCCCAACTCCACAAAATCGCCCGGCTCCACCAATGTCTCACGCCGCAGGCCACCAAAACCCTCATACAGGCTTTCATTACATCGAGGCTTGACTATGCAAATTCATTGCTTGTCGGCCTCCCCAACTCCTCCCTCCATAGACTGCAGATCATCCAGAACTCTGCAGCCTGCGTCCTCTCCCGTACGAGACTCCATGACCCTATCACTCCCATCCTTGTCCGACTCCACTGGCTTCCCATCATACAGAGGATGCAGTTCAAGATCCTGTTCCTCACCTTCAAAGCCCTCCATGGTCTGGCTTCCCCCCACCTCTGCAACCTCCTAACCCCCTACCATGCCGCCCGCTTCCGCCGCATAGCAGGCTCCGGGCTGCTTCACATTCCCCGCCTCGCTCGCGCTACTATTAGCGGGTGGGCCTTCTCCCACTCTGCCCCCACCCTTTGGAACTCCATCCCGCAGTCCCTCCACCTCGCCCCCTCCCTTGCCTCTTTCAAGACCCATCTCAAGACTCTCTTCTTTGACTGTGCTTTCCCCCTTACCCTTCACCCTCCCCAACCCCGAGCCCCAGCTCAGGTCTGAAACTCTGTCTGTCCAGCTCCTTGGGACGTTCTCCCGACGTGAAAGGCCCTATATAAATGTAATTTTGCTGTTGTTGTTGTTATCACAATATAATGTCTGAAACTGTGACAGGTAATGTCTCTAATGTGTAGTGTCTGTATTTGTAAATGAACTAGCAGAAATTCATACCAGCACAGTCTCACGAACAGCCACAAAGTAAATTCCCAATTCATCTGAAGCATTGTTGGCCAGAGAACCCAGAGAAATTTACAATCTATTTTCAATGGTGTCATAGGATCTTTAATGTCCTCCTGAATGGAGGTTTTCGGTTTCATTCAAAATATTGTAGCTCAAACATGCAGAGCTCACACAGCACTGCACTGGAGTGTGAGCCTAGATTATGAGATAAAATGTAAATGGGGCTTCTGACCCAAAGATGAGAGTGCTACAATTGAGTCAAATCAATACATAAATTCAAGATATGCAAGATAAAGAAATAACAGTAGAGTTGAAACTAATGATCAGATTAATTATCATTGCACATATAATTGAGTGACTTGAGTTGGCTTCATTCTGAGCTGTAAGCATAAAGCCCACAAAGAGTGACCTTACCTGCCTTGGGGAGAGGATAACTTATATTATAATATGTTTCAAAGAACTGAAGTAATGGGCCTGTGATGTTCAATGCGTGCTGAGCTTCACCATTTAATATGGATTCCTTCTTTGCCCAAATACGAATCTGAAAAAGAATTTAAAAATCATTTACGAAGAGAAGAAAGTAATTCTGAATTCAGGTTTGGATTTAATTCTAAGTGTATCATCTGCCCCTCAGGTTACGTAACTCTGCGCCCTTACCTATGAATCTATTATCCTCACTTGCTAGGATAACAGTTTAGATGTTTGGTGGCATTGTCAAACATCACATCCTTAACTATCCCCTGTGTAAACTTACAAATTAGTGAGCAAAGCTTGCCTCTGTCTCATCTTTAAAAATCATCAAGAAAATTCAATTTTTTCATCCAGGCAGAAGATCGATTAAAAACTTAGAGAAACCAACTTTATTTACTGAGTTTCCTGTTCTGCAGTGTTGAAGTGCCACCTCAGAGCTGAAAGTGTTTCAAAAAAGGAATTCCCTCTGATTTTCACCGATGATAATTAAGGAACAAATTTGTAATGTTGGATAACATGTCCCTTGTTATAGTGAAATCACTATACAACTTTGCAAAATTTTACCCAGCGTGTTTCAATTTATATTGCTTACATTTGAGTTCCAGAGGCAGTTTATCTTGTAAACACATGACATGAGGGTGCCTTTCCAGTATCCTGATTGATTTTCAACTGAGAGAGACTTTATTATGTTGCTCGGAGTAACTGTGTGACCCATGATCCAAATTCAAAAAAACAGCCCCTTCCCCCTCCACACAACCCCTGCAGAAGCTGTATTTACCTCTGTGTCACCGTAAGTTGTGCCAATGAAATCATAGTCGCAAATGGCAAGTGCAACTATGTAGGTGGACATTTTCACAGTGGTATTAAATGTTGTAACATTCCATATCCCATCATCTTCCAGTTTTTCTGAAACAGCTAAAAGTGGAAAGCAATAAAGTGATGAATAAAGCACCATTTTTGTAAATGTCTGTAGCAAAACAGTGAAAAGGCCAGAATTGGGCGGACTAGTACGGACTTTCATCTCTAGCAGAGAAAATTATTTGAAAATGCTTCAGTACAGGAGCTCTGGGTGACAAGTAGTTTAGAGGTGAAAGATAAGCATCTTTTCATTGGCAGAATCCTGTCTTGGATCCAATAAATGAGGAAGAGTCAGATAGAGTGGCAGAGAGAGTGAGAGAAGAGTTGACACAGTGTAACACTACAGTGACAGTGTAACTCCTGATGGAAGATTTTTTTAGTTAGCACCGTAGCCAATTTGTATTTTGAGTGATGTCCAACTAGTCACAATGTCTGTCTATCCACAATGAAGCCGATCCCAATTAGTGTAGTTAATCATTCAACAATATCCTGTGAAGCGCTTCGAGACGTTTCAACAACGTGATAAGGCGCTATATCAAATGCAAAGATTATTATTATTATAATTGTGTTCACTAATAAACCATCTGTTTAGTTAGTATTTGTTTGCTTTCAAACCAACCAGATGGACCAGAATTATCTTTTCTGATCCTTTCCATTCCTACATGGCACAAAATCTGGTTTGCCATTTAAGTTTTATTCTATTATTTATCTCCTTTGTTCTCAATAGTTGTTTTCAGCATCTTAATGTTGTCCAATCTTATCACTCACTTCCTGTCTCTTCTTGCAAATGCAAACTTAATATTAAATAAACACATACTAATAATAGAGATGGGTTAGGAAGAATGTGCACTGGACTGCATTTGAAGCAGAATGCAGTCACTCATATTGTGTTTCATAATTTATTATTATGCATTTTAATGAATATGTACCATATTAAGCCTTGTAAATACTTAACATTGTGTGGATGTAGGAAGCCATTCTGCACACAATTTTCCTCTATAAAATTATGCCGTCAGCTTGAAAAAGAGGAATATGAAAGAATATGGGAGGAAGCAAGAGAATGAGCTCAGATTTGGCGGCTTGTGTGAAATAAAGCACAAATGTAGACTTGATTACCTGAATGGTGTGTTTCTGTGCTGCAACTTTTCATGATTCTATGTGACATATCTTTACATTGTTATATAAGTATCTGGGAGGATCCTAAATGTGATAATGCTACCACAGCTGCTTATAATAATCCTTGATTTTGATACAATACCTTATCACGTTGCCCAGATGTCTCAAAACGCTTCACATAATCTTACTGTGAAGTGTAGTAACTGTGTATTTTGTGGACGAACGTGGCAGCCAATTTGCATACACAAATGCCTCACAAACAGCCATGAAGTGAACAACCAATTTTTTTAATCTTATTGGTTTATCCAGAGAAATGATTTTCTCCCGTGGTTTTGTTCCTGATGAAACTTTTTCTTTTTTTTCTTACTCACCAATTGCTGGCATGTTAGAAAGTGCCACAAACTCCGAACGGTGCACAAGCCTAATGTCAAAGGTTGCTTTCATATGAGGTTCATCGAAGCAGGGGAAAACTGATCTGGCATGTGTTGGCTCCATCTGTGTTACAGCAAGAATTCTAATTGGGGAAAAATGCAACTGATTACTATGCCTTTCACTTAATATTTATGATATTAAGGCTTGTAAATGCTTAATAACAGTGTAACAAGGAAGTAAAAAGCCATTCAGCACATGGGGCCTGTTTATTCCAACAGACTGTATCAATCTGCAAGGACAGCTGAACAAATTGAATTTTCCTAAAACATTTAATGTTGAAAAGCCACAGGTAAAGCTTTCAAGAAGTTAAAACTCTGGAACATTTCTCCATCGCTCTCCTCCTCCCTCCATCCAAATAATAATAAAATAGTAATTGCATTGGGTATAATGGGAGGATGTAATTCCAACTTAATCTGGTGAAATTCCATTCGTAATGGAAAGCTTTTGGCTCTTGCCAATTTTTGCCCATAACTTTCCAAAATTAGGAAAGCAGAGTGCTTACCTCCATGAAAGAGTACACGCTCCATTTCCAGACAAATAGAAATTTCCATGCAGATCCGTGTGGAACTCTTAGTGGTTTGAATGGATATTCTTAAGCATGGTGATGGGTTTCCATGTGAGTCAGACACCCAGCTCAGCAAAAATAAAAATAGCTAAACTCCAATACACTATTTCAACATTAGAATATTTGTATTCAATCCTGATCTGTTGTACATATAACAATTCCAGCAACTCTTTACATTTCAAGTGACTTGAAGAAAACAAGGTCCAATCAACAGAAGCAAACAAAATAATCCACTGGGAAATTGTTTCTATCTGCATCCAATGTTACATAAATCACTTGCCTTCCATGAAGCTGGCTCAACTTCCCTGGTGCTGATTGAAGACTGGAAGCCTCATTCTCTGCAGCTGCTTCCAGTTTTTACCGTACACAAATAATATTTGATATAGGACCTTATCACTCTTCGAGACGTCTTGAAGCGCTTCACAGAGGGATTATTTTTAGGCATGTGGAGTAAGGAAACTTGCCCAAGGTTTCGCCCTGCCTGTACTCTTGCTTCTGAATTAGAAGGTTGTGGGTTCAAGCCCCACAACAGGACTTTAAACTCACATAAGACTGACACTTCAATACAATACTTCAATGCTGGGTTGGGTGGGGGCTGGTTCTCTGCCTTGCTTGTGGTGCCATCCTTTGGATAAGATGTTAAAACGAGGTCTGTCTGCTGTTTCAGGTGGATGTTAAAGATAGCATGATAATATTGGAAACATGAAGGGATTTTCTCCCATTGCCTTGTCCAAAAATCCCCTGGATAAAATTCATCATTCACTCCATAGCTGTTTGTGAAACATTATGTGTGCAAAATTGGCTGTTTTGTTTGCCTACAAAATTACACAATACCTAAATTTTACATGAAATCCTCTGCAGTGCTTTGAGATTTAATATAATAATCCTTGCATTTGATATAGCGCTTTTCACATCTTCTTGATTGCTCAAAGCGCTTCACAGAATATATTGTAGTGAATTGACTGTATATTTTGCGGGCGAAACGCGGCAGCCAATTGCCCACAGCAGTGTCCCACGAACGGTCATGGATTGGAGTGACCAATTTATTATTGTTTTTTTTTCTGAGGGATTATTATCAGGCATGTAGAGTAAGAAAACTTGCCCAAGGTTTCGCCCTGCTGGAAATCAAACCCAGGTCTCTCGCTTGCCAGGCGAGTGCTCTAACCATTGAGCTACAGGATGTTCTCTTGACGTGAAAGGTGTTATATCAAATGCAAGGATTACTGTCTGAGGTCTCATTCACTGTAAAGTACAGAAAGATGGAGTCAAGTTTGGTTCCAACAGAGCTCTGGAGAGATGGTATGGTTTAGTTTCTACATAAAAGTCAAAGGTACAGTACTACTGTGAATAAGGACACCTTTCGATAAATGTGCCTGTAGTTTTTTTATACCTCCTCTCATCCTGGATTCAGTTTAAAGTACATATGTTACAAGACATGCCTATATCCACGTTAACCATGCTTTCCAGCATTTCAGAGCATAGCAAACTGGCTTTAACATCAATGGAACTGCTGTGAATACAGAGGAAGTCTACCAAAAGTGTGAAATTGGTGATTAATCAACCAGCAAACTCAAATATCAAGCAGCTGTGGATGTACATAATGTAAGTGTGTTCTTCCTATCAGTTCCATGTTTTTCAAAAGCAAAAGTCAACATTAATTTCTATGGAAACACTTCTAACATGAAATAGGGTATTAGAAAGAAAGAAGCACCTTATCAAACCTCCAAATAATTATTGTCATGTGGTAGTGGCTGCTTTTGTAGGCAAACTCAGCTGCCATTTTGCACACTGCAAAGTCACACAAGCAGCCATAAGCTAAAAATGCTCAATCTATCTGGCAGATTTATCAAGGGAAGGGTTTCCCTTTAGCCATTTATACAATCAATACAATTCACATGGCACATTTCACATTGGGAATTTCACTGCTGGGCACCAGAGCCACAACACCAGGAGAAACTCCTTTCTCTTTCAAACAATGTCATGGGATCTTCAAAGTTAACTGAAGCACAGACAGATAGGACCTTGCTTTTATGCCACCTCTGACAATACAGCATTCCCACAGCATTAGTGTCAGTCCAAACTATGAGCTGAGATTCTGACATCAAATTTAAATATGTAATTTTCTAACCCAGATTCAAGGGTGTTAACAACTAAGCCAAGAATATCAATGCAGGGAACCTATTCTAAGTAATGAACTCTTGTTGGTAGCATTGAATTAGGTTTGAGCATGACCCATCATTGAACGATGATCAATTCTCTACTAACCAATGGCTAAACCTGATGGATATTGGTGAGGTTGGATAGGATAAGGGTGAGAGGGAGGTGACCATAGGCTCCATCAAAGAAGCAAGTCTTTGGGATTTAAAGATAGGTAAAGAGGGGCTTGTGGTAAAGGGATTGAGGCAGGGAGTTTGAGGGTTTAGGTAGAAAGTGTCTGAAAGTACAGCCACTGATGGTGGGCAAAGGGGTCAGCGATGTGCACATAGGCCTGTATTAGCTGAGCAGAGGAGTAAGGTACAAATCAGTTAGAGAGGTAGGGAGGTGCTAGGGCATGACGGGATTTATATAATATGTGCAGTGGTGCTACAGCTTGTATGTGTGACTAATCAGCCTTTGGATAAAAAAATATTGGCTTTCCATTTCACGTGTCTTCCCCACACGGAATGCCTGACTTGACCTAAATGGCTCAATTACATCCCCATATGTGTTGGCTTTGCTCTTGGCATTTCCTAAGAACTGCTCTTAAGCTAGTGACAAAACAATGTCACCCTGAACCTTACATGTTAGGGATGTAACTTAGAGAGTGAGACACAGCCAACAGGAACAACCATAAGAATACACTAGGAAATTGTTTCTATCTGCATTCATCATTATCTAAGTTACTTTATTAAATGGAGCCACTTTATCAAAATAAAAAAGCAATACATATAACATTTTCAGAACAGTGTCGTATAGTACACTAGATTTGTTCTTTCTTGAACAGACTTGACCTTTGCTATATAAAGACTATTGTTATTTTGGCAACATCTGGTCATAATGCTTAAAAAAGTACTAAACTAGCCAAGGAAGATTCACTTTTATGGAAAAAAGAAAGGCAGAACAGACTAAATTATTTTTATGATAGACACCATTATCTGTGTTACATTCAAACTTCAGGCTATTTAAATTATCTATCAAAGGGCTTGTCTGGTGGTGCTTGACAGGGTTCAAACTCCAGATGTGGTTGTCCAAATGTTCAAAACATCTAGTTTTGAGTAATGTTTGAAGGAGGGGAAGGGTCAGACAGTTAAGAAAGTTCCAACAAAGTATTCGAGTAAGGAGAGGTGATTGAGGCTTGTGTACTCTTCAAGGGCGAAAATTTTTTATGGTTTTGTCCTAAAATTTAAGATTGTGTGGAATTTTGGAAAATTTGCAAATTCCATCTCAATTTTTAACTCATCAATTTCCAAATTAAGAGTAAATTAAAAAAAAAAACACTTTTATACCATCTTACTGTTTAAGGCAGTGGTGGCCAATCCATGACCCGTAGGCCAAAAGTGACCCCCCCCCCCAAACATTCGGACTAGTCTAGGTAAGTCCGTGTTTAATCAATGGTGTGTTTCCAGTTTTTTCTTGATTGAATATTTCTTGATTGAATATTTCTCAATTTATGGCATAAATAAATAAATAAATATTCAAACAAGAAAATGTATTTCGTAGGCTGATCAAAAAGGTTGGCCACCACTGGATTAAGGTAACAGGGCCCACAATCGTTCCACCTGTTTATACTTATACCTTATTATTGCTGGGTTCAGCTTTCAGTCCTGGTCACAAACACCAGCTCCTCACCCTTCAACAACAGCTCTATACAGTGAATGAGACCATGTGGAACTGAAAGTACATCGTCCCGATGTGAAAGGCATTATACAAATGTAATTTTGTTGCTGTTGTGGGGAGATCCTTGTGTGTTTTATTCTGGCTGTCCCAACAAGGCTGTTTCCCATGAATATGTAGATAAGCCAAGTGACAAGTACGCCAATTAATTCCAGATCTGGTTGTGATTGGACACGAGTAGGGAAAAAAATCTTTGCATATAATATAGCGCCTTATACAAATGGAATTTTGTTGTTGTTGATATCAGTTATCACATTTTTGACACGTCTCAAATTGTTTTACAGGATATACAGTAAAGTGGTGTGACTGTGTATTTTTGGGGCAAACCCAGCAGCCCATTTGCGCACAGCAATACCCCACAGAACAGCTATGGAGAGAGTGACCAATTTTATCCTGGGAATAGTTGGTCAGGACACCGGGAAAAATTCTCTTCTCTTTTAGAATAGTGCCATGGAGCATTTAACATCTCAACCTGAACAAGGCAGAGATGTTAAATGTTCCATGAATCTTGGTTTTATGTTTAGTTTAATCTAAAGAATGTTGTTAGATTTGAGCCCACGTGGAATTGTCATTCATTTGGTACAGATTGGCAATTTCATAGAAAGACCACAGGCATTGGAAAATTGGCACTGGTGCAATAGGAG